AAAGGGCAGTTCAACACCAGCCATTAAATGATATTTAAAATTTCTCTGTGTTGAAATTTAATACAGATGTTTATAACACAGATGTTTATTTAATTAGCATTGTTTTCTTTGCTGTTATTTTAGATAACTAGAACTGTTGTAATTAAGCCTATTTTTGGTATATATATCTCCTCTGTTATTGGAAAGGCAGAGAAAAAGAAAGAAGGAAATAAAGAGAAAAAGAAGTCTTCCCTCCAATAGTTCACTTCCTAAATGACTGCAGCAGCCTGGGCTGGGCCAGGTTGAAGTCAGTGGCCTTGGAATGTCACCCTGATCTTCCATGTCCATGCAGTGTCACAAGTACTTGGGCCACTCTCCGTTCTCCCAGGACCATACTAGAAAGTTGAATCCGAAGTGGAACAGCCAGAACCTAAGCTATTCCTAATTTGGAATACTTTTAGAAGTACAAACTTTGTTAGGAATGTTGGTACTTGTTAAAAGCAGAATGTAGATTTTACTTTATAGAATATTATCCATAACAAAAAATCTGTTTTAAACTGCCCACAATGTTGATCAGATACCCAGTGGTCACTCTGACCTGTCTCTTCGGGGTTTCACATTTCCTTGTCCATTGTCCTTCCTAAATTCTCCTGGGTGACCTCACTCTTGCTCATTTTTTAGCGTTTTCCATTGGCTATTGAATTCATCTCTTATTGTTAATTTATTTGGCCCTATATTTATTTTGAAGTAGAAACATTCCTGTACAGTTTTCTTTTTAGTAATTCAGATAATACACTGAAGTAGTTGGCCATCCTAGCAGTAGTGTCACTGGCGATTTTGACAGCTTTGCTGGTTAGGTGATAATCGCTATAGTCCATCCAAAAGCAAGATAACATTCAAGTAGTAAGTAGTACTGGCAGTATTTTGGCCTCAAATTAAGGAGCTAATAATACAAAGGATTTCCACTCTTTTGTCTCTTCTAGTCACCCACAATGGTGAAAGTATTTTTTATTGGTTATGGTATGTAGGGAACCAACATTCTAAGTTTTTGTTTTATTCACATCTGGTTTATTTTCTTTTTCTAAGATCCTGCCTAATGGTATGATCTAAGACTAAGATTTAGCTTGTGTTCCTCTGTCAAGAACATCTTTGGTTCTGTCTATCCAAATTCCTTTTTTAATTTTTGCACATTTTGTTCCCATCAAGAGAAACATGATCTCCAAGAACAGTTACTATATGTTGATGCAGTTCTATGTAGCTGTAAGGCAGGCCAACCATTTTCACTTTGAATAGGTATCTGAATTATATAATGTGGATTCTGTAAAGTATCTTATAATGATGAGAGAATGAATTTTATATTGCTCTATAATTTTGACTTCCCTTGTTATATCTGTTTTGTATGGGTGAAAATATAGTAGTAGTAAAGCTTAGTTAAATTTTTACTATAACTTTTAAATCTAAGATTATACTCTTAAACATATATTATTTCACACTAGAGATAGGCTTGTTCTGTTTGCATTTAGGTAAGTTTTAAAACACTATCACATAGATGCAGACTTCAGTCACATCATTTTTATCTCCTAATCAAATTTCCCCTTGACTTCTTAATTTTCTTTTTTTTTGAAAAGCAATTGATCTTGGCTCGCATCCCAAGTTGCAGTGATGCGGCTGGGTCAGGACTGAAGCCAGGAGGTAGGCATCCTAACTGCCTTCTGGGGTCTGCATTAGCGGGAACACTTGAATCAAGGGGTTCCTTAAAACTAGGATCCTCCCTTAGTGGAAAGGTAATAAGCGCTCTTCTGTGAATAAGCCATTGTGTTAGAATAGCGTGCATTAAATATATTGTATGGCAGCTCTTCCAATTACATTATTTCAGATCTTAAAGAGGTATTACATTTAATTTAATATACCTTCCTTTGGCAGATTAAAGAAAGAACATAAGAGTGGTGAATTCATTTACGTTTTCTGTGGAAAAGCTAGGGTACAAATCTGAAATGATTGGATTCTAGTTCAGTATCTTTTCAGTTGTAAGATTATTAGAAAAGGCTTTGGAAATCCTTAGGGACATTCTAGTAAAGCCATTGGGCCCTCAGAGACATTGTGATCAAAACTGCAGTAATCTTAGAATATTTGCAATAAAACTGCAAAAGTAGACCAGAAAATTTCAGTTTCTGTAATTTTTTGGAATATTGCAAGGAAATACTGAAGAAAAAAATGAAAGTCTCATTTCCTCGTGAGAAGCAGATCCTGCTTATCCTTAGCTCTAAAACACGCAACTTCTAGTGAGTATTGCTTCTCGCAAATGAACCTCAACCAGGCAGTAATTGTTGGACCAAATGAGTAATGCATTTTGGTGAGATATGAGGGTCTGATGGTAGGATTTTTTCCAAAAGCACTTTATTTTTCAGGAGCTAAGTAAAATATTGTGCTTGGTAGAGACCGCCAATTACAGTTCACATTCTCTATTCTCTTGTCAGTTTCAGTTGCCTTTTCAGGACAAAGAGCTCTGCAGGGTGTTATATTTTCAAACGTAAATTGCTGCTCAATGTAGCAAGTAATTTATTTCCCCATAGAATAAATATGCATTTCTTGGCCTTATTGTTATTATATAGCAAGATAATGGATTGCTAGATATGTTTTAGGAAAGTACAATCTGTTTTGGGATCTGATTGTTTAGTTTTCATAGTGTGAAAGTCATTATGGATTCTTATGACAGATGATTCCTGTGACAGATTAATGCTGCTTAATGTTGATTATTTTGTATCACTTGGGTCCCTAAGAGTTAGCTAAAAAAAGTGTATTGGAAAAGAAGTTAAAATGAAGCCTTTTGAGACAATTTCCTCACTAAGTGGACAACATTTTCTGTTATTTTATTCTAAGATATTTATTTTAAAATAATTCCTAAAGTTACTTTAAGGGGAAAACAGCATAATATAACTTCCATCAAAAATCTCAATGCTAAAACAAAAACAAAAACAAAATCTCAATGCTAATATGGCTAGGGGTTGTTTTGCTCATCTTCTTATTCAATGAGTCTTTCTTTTAATTTACAGTTCTGTAGTGTCAAATCTGTTTTTGCTCTAAGTCTTACCTTTTAGCATTTGCTAGTTATTTGTGTCTCTCGCAGTAAGTTCTTGCGATTCGTTAATTGATCATCCATAAGAGATGGATTGCTTGTAAGCACTTGAGATTGTAAATGTTCATTTCAACACTGTTTTGCTACGCATCATGAGTAATGAACGTATACTTTTAATTGTAATTCCTTCAGCACCATGAGGTTCATGCACTAACATCTATTCCTACAAGAAGGTTTTTGATTCCTGTTTTCACCACTCTTGTGGTCCATTTTTATTTTTGTGGCATGTTTGTCAACTTCATATTAATAAAATTTATTATCTTCACCCTGTTGTGGACTGTGCTCACTGGTTCTGTATTTTAGGTGATATATAATGGAAGTGTAGGAAGGACTGATATGTTCAGATATAGAGACAGATGCTGTGTGTCCCTGTGCATACAGAACAAGGATAGACTCCAGTGAAAGAACTGAATACATCCTAACAGTAAGATGATGGACTTATTGACAGTGTCCATGCCTACATTGTCAGGAAACACTTCAATAACAGCATAATGGACTTGTGACGGCTCATGAAGGACATCCATTGTAAAACTAGAGGGGACATCAGTGGAAGGTGGTGGAGGGACCTTGGGGAAGGGCACAGACCACCCCAGAGCCTATGGAACAATATCACAAAACAAAATAAAAGATTTTTAAGTGTAAAAAGTAAATAATAATAATAATAATAATAAAATAAAAAAGGAAAGCAGCGAATTTGAGATATGCCGAACTCCTCATACCATGTATACTCAATTACCATTTAAGTGGTCATATTATGGAGCGCTATTATTAAACTACTGAACATAGGTTATTAAATCCAAGAAATGTTGATCAACTTTAAAGTGTGTGATTTTTGTGATTGTCAGGCTTCTTATTCATTTGTGCTTATCTGTGGGGAGTGGGGTGCTAAAGCCGCTCCTGGGATTGGAAGGGGCCGTTGCAAGATGGCGGCTGGCCCAGGGCCAGGAGGTGGAGCTGGTCTCACCAGCAGGTAAACAGGGAGTCACAGGGATAGGCTAATGCCCTCGCTGCGATTACTGGCCCATCACATAGCACCAAGTGGACCCACGGAGAGAAGTGATTGGTGGAGAATGATATAAAAGTAGCTGGTAAAAGCTAGATGGACAGACGAACAGGACAGATGCGGACGACAGAAGACAGACAGACGAAGACAGACGAGAAAGACTGGGGGGTGGGAAGAAGGGTGGCAGAAAGGAGCGATTGAAAGTACAGAAAGAAGAATGGGAGGAAGGGTGGCAGAATTAGGGCTAAAGAAGCGGCAGAGGAAAGCTAAGGCCAATGGGGACAGGAGCAGTGGAGATAAGGGTTTGAACACAGCTGCTTTGGGCAGTGAGAGTAAGCCTCATTGTTTTAGTGTCGCTGCTGCTGGGTGGCAGCAGCACTTATCATTTTAGTGTACCTAACAAATTTTAAGACTGTGAAATTTGATTGTCATTATATTACATATATTGATTTCTAAGAATTTATTGATATTAAATATATTTGAAATGTTTTAACTGAGCCACCACTATCTCTTGTTTTTAATATGGCATTATAGGAGATTTTGATGGATCTTAAAACATACCTGCAATTTACTGAATTGATTTTAATTGATATTATAGTACCTAAATGAATCATACTGCATGGACATGAAGGGTCTTTAAAAAGTTCACGAGAAGTATATATTATGAAAATGCTCTATTATGTATGGATTTCAATACTTTGTGTGCCAAAATAAACTTAGATTTTAATTCAGTTTTTCCACAGACTTTTTGAAGTTTTCTTGAATGACAATTTCCTGTATGTTGGCAAGATGATGGTACATTTCAAACAAATGTTTACCTCCTCATTATTTTCAAGGATGTTAAGTCATAATGGCTTACTAATGTTTCTTTTTTTCCTGCAGGTCATTTTAGTGTCTGCCAATAAATTAACTCGTTACATTGAGCCATGCCAGTTAACAGAAGATTTTGGTGGGAGTCTCACCTATGATCATATGGATTGGCTAAATAAAAGGCTGGTTGGTATATTATAATGAGAGAAAATGTTATTACATATAATCAAGATATTTTACAACTGTATCGTTGTAATCAAAATACAGATACTTTTCCATTTTATTAGTGCATATCGCATTATAGCATGTACTTCTAGACAAATACTTCGGAGTTTGGGACAGTTAGAATTCTGATGCCTGTTGCAGCATATATGACTTTTAACAATGTATTTAGTTTCTCTTTGTCTCATTTTCTGTAGCCTTAATATGAGAAGAAGAATAATACCTCCTTTATGAGATTGTAGGTAAAATAAAATGATAATTTATTAAACATTAAACTGGTTAACAATACCACTTCCAGAGAGTATTTAACTTTAAACATCAATTTGAATTTTCAATGTGAAGAGCAGTTTGCTACATTAAATTTTTCATTTCTGAAAATGTGTTTCTTATAGATTGGAATTCTGAAATCTGTTGTTTTGTGTCATATGACATTGTTGTATTTGAACTGCTGAAAGCTTAACTTTAATTCAGATTATGTGCTGACTTATTAGAAGAATAGTGAACTTTAAGTTCTAACAATGGATAATCATTTGTTTCCAACTTATTTTAGGTAATATCAGACTCTAGTATATGTCGAAATAGACATTTCTAGATCTGTTTCAACAAATGTTTGAAGAAATCGTGTTAATGTAATTATTTTTCTTTATGCTGCAAGATATATTTTTGAAACTCATATTTCATGCAACCAATTTAAATTGGAATTTGAGATTTAGACTGGTTTAAATAATATTTGTTCCTAGTCTTTCTCAGAAAAACATGGAAATAAGAACAAATTTGCTTGAATAAAAAATAAAAAAGTTCTTGATGTGTTTAAAGTTAAAAAAAATTTCGTTGATCCTGTTCATTGCCCAAGAAAGCAGTTTTGTCTTCTCTTGTGTACACTGTTGTACTCTGGTGGCTGGACATCAGGAAGGGACTTCGGGAGATGAAAGAGCCCTGATTGGCTAATTCTGTTGCCCTCAACTGAAAATTCTTAATACATGTTAATTTTAAGGTTCTTCTTAGTATGTTAAATTCTTATATTACAGGTTTTTGAGAAGTTTACTAAAGAGTCTACATCATTACTAGATGAACTTGCTTTGATTAACAATGGAAGTGATAAAGGAAGTCAGCAAGAGAAGGAAAGGTGGGTGCTGTGTACTGTGGCATGCAGCTTTGGACAGGCTGTGACATATTCAGTAAAAGATCTAGTGACAGTGCAGACTGAAGGAAGGAAGGTACACACATCCACATTCAGTCAAAATTGACATACAGTGTTTATATGAGGCTGACATGAAATCATACTGATGAGTAGTGTTAAATTTACCTTTTCCTTTACCTTTTCTGTAAAATGTCCAGTTGCAAGAACTTCTTAAAAAAAGATTTGTTTGAAAAAGTTTGAGCGAGGTGGAAAATCAGACATCATCCTTCTGCTCCCAAGGTACGGCAGTGGCTGGAGCTGGACAGGGCTGAAGTGAGGAGTGGCCGAGAAACAAACAGCCATGCAGTCTGCTTTCCTCAGCCGTTAGCAGAGAGGTGGCTGGAAAGTGGCTAGCCAGGTAGCAGTCTAACACACTATGCCACAGTGCTGATCCATAAGAGCTTGTTGTTTTTTTTTTTTAAAGAAACAGTTTTCTACAACTTTTTAGAGTTCTACTCTTTGCTGTCAAAGAATGTTAAAAATGCTGCAACTTGAAACAAAATTATCATAATTTTATTTAAATACCCTAGCACCTGAATGCCTAGATTGTATCCTCTTAAAATTTGTGCTCTTCATGGCTTTAGGCAGTAATTGTCATTGTGTAAATGAAGCTGCCTGGTTCTATCATTTTAAAAATTTGTAGTTAACTTTACAATTGTCAGTTTTTATTTTCTGTTTGTAGGCCAAAGCTGCTCATCCCAAGTAAAAAGCATTTTAGTAAGCACATTCTTTGTAACCTTTTGTTTATTCCTGGTTACCAGAGCAGTAATTTTACATTAGAAAATTTGAAAGTACCAAAAGTCATTGTTGCTGATCCTTGAGTATGGCCTTGGACATGCAGTGAAAACCTTGATGCTTCTGTTTTATGAATCCAAATATGGTAAATATCAATTGAATGGCAAGCTAGGAGAAATACAAAAACATAATGGTTGTAACAGCCAAATCTTAATTTGAACAAAGACAATAGAAGCAAACAAATGGTTTGAATGTAACATTAATTAAAATTACTGCAAGCAGTTAAAATTCTTGTTCTGTGGATACTATATGAAAGTGTAACATAATCTTCACATATGTATGTATATGTGTCTCTATGATTTAGGAAAGTGTCACGCTAGTCATTTGATAAAAATTAGCTCATCATGAGCTTTCCAATTAGTCCATCAAAATAACTTTCATGTTTCTTAGTTATCTTAGGAAATACATCCTACATGGGTGCCTATAGGAATCAGAGCCTTTAATGGTGTTGATTCTGCTTCCCTTCCCTGAGAGTGATTGAAATTGCCTAGTACATGTTGAGGAAGCATCGCAGCCAAGAAGCCTGGTTGCTTTCTTAGAGCATCTGTCAGTAGCAATGAAACCCTCTTTATAAAGCTAATGATACTCCGTACAATGTTATTGAAAGTATTTTGGGAATTGCTTGTTTGCTTGACCACAGCAAATGTCAAAACAAAATTTTGGTGTTTCTAAGTCCTTCCTAAAGAAACTCACTTTTTATTGGCTGATTTCTTATAAGTAACAGGTAGTGAAGCCCTGGCTCTTCCATAGTTTTTGTTTTTAAAGATTTATTAAAAATTTTTTTTTTTTATTGGCAAGTGTGATGTACAGAGAGGAGAAGGAGAAACAGAGAGGAAGGTCTGTTCGTTGATTCACTCCCCAAGTAGCTGCAACAGCCAGAGCTAACACGATCTGGTGTGCATATGGGATCCTGGTGAGTGCAAGGCAAGGACTTTAGCTACTAGGCTACTGTGCTGGGCCCAAGCTCTTCCAGATTTTCATCAGCGTTTACTTCCCTAAGGAAGTGCATAGACTGTGCCAGAGGTGCAGGTCTAGATAAAACTGAAATACTTAGTTCAGGATCAGTCAGTTAGAGCAGCTCAGTCCTTGGCCTTGATTTACATGTCCCCTGTATCAAGGGATACTTGTCCCCTGTGTTTCCTTCCTGTTCTCCTTCCCTTGTACGTGTGAGAAAGTGAAGGGAAAAATTCACATGCTCAGGCCCGGCAGCGTGGCCCAGCGGCTCAAGTCCTCACCTTGAACATGCCGGGTTTCCATATGGGCACCGGTTCTAATCCCGTCAGCTCCAGTTCCCATCCAGCTCCCTGCCTGTGGCCTGGGAAAGCAGTCGAGGATGGCCCAAAGCTTTGGGATCCTGCACCCGCGTGGGAGACCCGGAAGAGGTTCCTGGTTCCTGACTTGGGATCGGCATAGCATTGGCCGTTGTGCTCACTTTGGGAGTGAATTATCGGACAGAAGGTCTTCCTCTCTGTCTCTCCTTCTCTCTGTATATCTGACTTTCCAATAAATAAATCTTTAAAAAGAAAAATTCACATGTTCAGGAACGTAATTGAAAAACATAGTGAGTACGGTTGTTAGGGACATACTCACCTGTCCCTTAAACGTGAAATGCTTGCAGCTGTGGAAAAGTTGCTGTAGGTACTCAAACTTGATGACTACAAACATGTTGAATCTTATACCCTGTCTGGATTGCTATCTAGTTAAAACTTTTCATTTTGAGATAGATATCCAGTAGATTTACACAAAAGTGAATTTCCTGAGTGCGTTGAAATGCCATAAATATAACAGCTGTGTTTCTCCAAGTAGTATAAACTTATGGTTTTTTGGCCTGTAGTATGCAGTCTTTTCTAAGAGGCTTCCTTCTTAAGCTTCAGAGAACGGAAGGCTTTCAGTTTTCTTATTTGTATTACTATTTTGTATTCAATTGGTATCATTGATTTGATATGCATATATGAAGAAGTTTCTTAAGTTACATGGGTAGAATTGTTATAGATTTTAAAATCGTTCTTCTGTTGCTTCACAGATCTGTGGACTTAAATTTTCTTCCCTCTGTTGATCCTGAAACAGTTCTTCAGACAGGTATGATGAACAATGTAATTATTTGTTCCAAAAAACCAATTGGATTGGTTGATTTGTAATAAAACGTTGATCAGTGTGATATGTGAGAAATGTGATAGAACTCAACAAGAAACATTTCAGAGTGTTTTTCGGTTTTATCAGTGTTAAAACATTTTATATATATGTAAAAAAAAACGAATACAGAACATGTGATTAGCCATGCACTTAACACAGCTGTGTCCCAGGGTGCAGTATTGGCTCCAGTTCCCAGCTCTGGCTCCTGACCACAGATTCGTGCAAATGGCGACTTTGGGAGGCCATGGTGATGACTAAAGTAGTTGGACTTCTTCCACCCAGAAGTGAGACTTGGATTAAATTCCCAGCTCTCAGCCTATCAGCGCTCTGACCCTGCTGAATCCAGTTATTTGAGGAGTGAGTTAGCAAATGCGAACTTATTTTCTGTCTCATCTCTTTTTAATGAGACCATTTTAAGTTAACAATGACAAATTTATTTCTCCCCTTGAAGTCTTTGCATTTACCTTTTTTATTTTTTATTTTCCTCTGTGATGATGAAAAGCAAAAGTTGAGAACTTTCTATGTTGTTGAGGTACCTTAACAGAATGGTATTATCCTGGGTAAACATTTTTGTTTATTTATAAAACTCTTTGTATACCTGTAGCTTTATACATTAGAGATGTTATACATTCTCTGATTTTAATTTCTCATGTATGAGTGAGTTATCTATGTAGGGTTGCTAGCGTTGAATTCTATCCTGTGCAGTTCTTAAACTAGTATGGCCCCTTAAATCCACAGTCTGTTACAGAGCTTTATACAAGTAGAAATTATTTAAGTATTGATTTGTACCAACAATAAAAACTTTTTCTGTTTACTCTGAATTGTATGTTTATTGCACTGTCGGCTTTTCTTTTAAGTGCTGTGATTGAGGAAACTGATGAATACTGAAATCCTGCAACACATTCTTGAATTATAACCATCAAACACAAGTCCCACAGTGTACTTTTTTCAAAAAAAGTAATTATTTTTATTGCAAAGTCAGATATACAGAGAGGAAGACAGACAGAGAGAAAGATCTTCCATCCATTGATTCACTCCACAAGTGTCTGCAACAGCCAGAGCTGAGCTTATCTGAAGCTAGGAGCCAGGAGCCACGAGTCTCCTCCAGGTCTCCCACATGGGTGCAGGTTCCCAAGGCCGTCCTCAACTGCTTTCCCAGGTCACAAGCAGGAAGCTGGATGGAAAGCGAGGCTGCCGGGATTAAAACAGGCATCCAGATGGGATCCTGTTGTGTGCAAGGCGAGGACTTTAGCCACTAGGCTACAACATTGGGCCCCACAGTGTATTTTATAAGAAAAGATGATTGGTTGACACAGTGTCATGAGTAACTGTGTTTGTGAACATATACTCAACACATACATGATAGGTTCATAAGATAATGTAGCATATATAAAAAGTATGTATCTGTAATACATGATACAGCATTTCAACTACTATGCTATGTGAGTATAGTTGCATATATGGACTCATATGAATATATATGGTTGTTCTGTGAAAGTTTTAAATTGCATTTCAGTTCTTATAATCCAGTAGCTATTGGGGATGAAGGTTGTAAAAACAAGGATCTAGAATTGAGAAGTAAGGATTGTATTTCCTCTATGGATATTAATAAGTATCTTTCTTTTGTAAAGGGCATGAATTGTTATCCGAATTACAGCAGCGTCGATTTAATGGCTCAGATGGAGGAGTCTCATGGTCTCCCATGGATGATGAGCTGCTTGCACAGCCACAGGTTATGAAACTGTTAGACTCGCTCCGAGAGCAGTACACTCGCTACCAGGAGGTTTGTAGGCAGCGTAGTAAGCGTACCCAGTTAGAAGAGATCCAACAGAAGGTGATGCAGGTAGGTAATTGGTTTGAATGTATTTTACTTCTGACTGTGCTTCTGATTGTTCCTATTATATGACTGACCTTTTAATAAGTCTTATTTACAATATATCGAGAAGCTTAGTCATAAAAAATTAGGTTGTAAAACTATTTGATTATATAATTTTATAAGTAGCATTTGCATTAAGGTTATACCGTTTCTGAGAGTGGTGTGATATTGGGCATTAAACTCAATTTAAGAAAATGAACTTCAAAAATAACTAGTTGTTGGAAATATTATTGATGTATTTTGGCAACAAACAACATATCCTCAAACATTTAATATTCTATCGTGAAAATTTCAAAAATCCTTTCTTCCAATTTTTTTAAGGCCTGTGCAGTGTTATTACTCTTCAGAGAGATCCTGCTGTGGAATAGGACTTTGGAACTTCTTATTCTTAAGTGGAACTTAATACCCGTTTTGTCACCTCCCCATCACACCCGTGCCCTACCACTTCCCAGGCACCATTTTGTTGTTCACTTGGTTTCTGCTGTCAATAAGAAGAAAGCATTGTCACAAAGACATTTTTTTAAATTATATTTTGGACAATCTTTACATAGTTAATTAGGGCAAAAAGGTACAAGGGCTATAGAAAAGTGGGTAAGACTATTATTTCCATATTGTTTCCTTCATATATCTGAGGTAAAGCGAATATTGAGGGAGAAGCCCCACCACAAAGACATTTTTTAAGTGCTCTGGGTATTACAAAAGGGATAATTTCAGTGACTGCAGGAAATCTGGACAGACATATTCAGGAATGTGGCACTTGTGTGTCTCCTGCAACAATGGATACTTTTGACAGGCAGTGGAGGGCTTTAAAGGAGAGCTGGCACTTGTGAAGGATGAAGAATCACATGAGTAAAGAGTAGCACCAGGATGTTCCAAGCTCTGTTGAAGAAATAGAGAACACTGGAATGACCGTGTCCCCTTTGAGATCATATTAATCCACTTAGTTTCTGAACATGGTCATTATACTTTACTGAGACTTGCTCTATCTTCCTTCTTTCACGTCTTTTCTTCTTTCGTTAAAATAGCAATAACAACACCTCTTTTATATGGCTACTATTAGGAAGGAATCTAGCATTCTGCTCATATGTATTTAGGTAATTGAACAAAATAAAGTAAAATAGACTAGTTCAGTTGCTGTCAAACTTTTTTTTTGTAAGTGTCCAGATGTTTAGCTTTTATAGAATGTATTGTCTTTTTTGTGTGAGTACATGTGGTCATAGCTACTTAGCTCTGCTGTGTTCGTGTAAGAGCAGTTATTGACATTCTATCAGTGAATGCATGTGAGCCTTTCCCAAGAAAACATAATTTCTAGCACAGAGTAGTGAGCCAGAACTGGGCTGCACATTCTAGTTTGCTAACCCCTGAAGTGGCTCATTAGGATTTTTAGTGGAGAAAAGAAAAAGGAAGTTAGATCAGAAAGGTACTAATTCCAGGCAAAAGGGTTGAGGAAACTAAAGATTTATGAGAAGGCATTAATCATACATACTCCAGATACTATGTACTCCATTTGTAAATTAATCACAGTTTGTGTCAAACCCAAGTATATTTGAACCAATTAGTTGGAAATTATCTTGAAAAATGACAAAGATAGAATAATAAAATGATGTAAAACTCAGATACTAATCCCAGATACTGATTGTGGGCATTTAGCTGAGTAAACTATGCATGCTCTCTTTGTTTTTTGTTTTCTGTCTTTCAAATAGAAATGGAAATTAAAAAAAAATAATTTTTGAAAGATACAGTGTTCCTACCTTCATTGTAAGGAATTAGGTAATTACAGAAGCAGTTGTAAAATTGCCCTCATGCCAAGTGGCAGCCAAGACTAACAATGATGGGATTATGGATTAAAGTAGGAGGATAATCAGGAATGAATCTTGTTTGTGGTTAGCAAGGCTTGATGTTTTGATCTACAAAATAAGGGTGCTAACTAGGTAATGCTGGATGAGTTTGCATTTGGATATGGGTGGGAAAAGTTGTGGCAGATGCTGACTTTGGTTTCAGACATGTTAAATTTAAGGTAGGTGACTTTGGATCACATTTGAGAAGTTGTAGAAAAACATTGGACTAAATCCAAAAATACTAGATTATGGGCTGCTGATGTGTGATTATTTTCTGGGAATGAATGCTTATTAAAAAATTATTTAGAGAATTGCTTAGAGAAACACTTAGTAAATAAAAGAGGGCTTTTCTATTTGTATTTTGACAAACTGCAATACTTCATGAGAAGGTAGTATACATTTGCAAAGACAGTGAAAGGCTGCCTAGAGTTGGGGAGAAGCATGTTGTTAGGGAAGGCAGGGGAAGCAGCATTTCAAAGAAAGAGTTAGAAATTTTACCTGAAAGTACTGAAAGTTGTACAAAAGGAGAACTGAAAATGCTAATATGAATCACAAAGGCGCAGTCATTGGTCTCTGTAGGGCACAAAGTGGTAGGCACTGGAGTCATTAGAATTCAGGATGGAGGGGAGACAGGGTAAGAGAACAGTCAGGATAGACAGCTGGTTGAGAGCTCTGTCTCTGAAGGAGAGATTGAAAACTAGGGTAATAGCTGTCTGAGGTGAAAGAGGGGTTTGCTGGGGCTTCACTACAGGAGTATGAACTTAGGTGTATTTTTTTTTTTAATTATTTTTCTTATTTAACTGGAAGATGTAGTGACAAAGAGGGAGAAACAGAAAAGAGGTTTTTATTTTGCTGGTTCACTCCCCAAGTGGCTGTGACATATATTGCTGAGCAAACCAAAGCCTGGAGGATGGAACAACATTGAGGTTTCCCGTGTGTGTGTCGGGATCCAAGCATTTGGTCCACATTTTGCTGTCTTCCCAAGTGCGTTAGTGCAGAGATGGCTCAGAAATGGTACAACCAGTGCTTGAACTGGCACTCCCATATGAAACAGCAGGTTTTCAGATGGTGGTTTGACTCACTGTGCCATAACCAGACTAAGTGGTTTAAACGATAGATATTTTCTCAGAGTTGCAGAAGCTGTCTGACAGAAGGATTCTTCTGTGGGCCACAAGGTGTGGCATCTCTTGTTTATTTCTTGGTGGCCACTTTCTTCCTGTACTCACCTCCGTGTGCTTACAAGGATAACAGAGATGCTGGGCGAGCATCACTAATGCCTTCACAGGCTGTCTCCAAATCAGTACAGCAGTGTCCTGAGGTACACAGCATGCATTTGGAGTCAGGAGCACAGTTAATAGAACAGAGGTCAAGTATAGCTGTTTTTTTCCTTTCTTTTTAAATACATAACATGAGAAAGGTAGGAGGTTTAAAGCTATTGGAAATTTTGTGCATGGAGAGAGGTGTTTACTATTAACAAATAGCAGGAAATTTGATACTATGAAGCTCTTGACATTGTGGAAGTAACTGGAATCCAAGGAGGATCAAAAGGATTGGCTTTAGGATAGAACTCTTCCATTTCAGCAGGAGGAATGATGGTTAGGATGAATCTCATGGTACCTCAGTGTGTGTGTAAGTCAGGGTGCAGGAAGACATAGGAGGTCCTGTAATGTGTATTTTGCCGTGTTGGTAGCCAAGGAAGAGACAAAGGCATCTCCCTGTTTGCAGGAGGAAGATGAAGAACATCTGTGGTATAAAGAGAATTTAGGCGATTTAGAGCTTTCTGGGAAGTAGAAAAGTAAAGTTAGTGCAGAAATGGAGTTGCGTTTTGTGGTACCATTGATGTTAAATTTACACAGAGCCTTACTGGCCTTTTGTGTGACCCTGATAGTCAGTGGCTGGCTGTTGAGGTATAGGCCCAAAGAACGTGGGTGATAGGAGTCCTAAGCCACAATCTGTGTTTAATTAAATGGGAAAGTGGATGGGATGTAAAAATGGAGGAGCAAATGAGCTAATGTATTGGCAAATGTGTTTTTGAGATGATGGTTCAGCTCAGTTGAACTGGGGAAGGGAGATGATGATGGTGATGATTATGATGGTGAGATTGTTGTTGAAAGCAGATGAATTTCATTACAAATTAATTTCCTATATGAAGTTATAAGTGAATTGGTTGCAACATGAATATTCACCCTATGTTGTTTCTTACATTCTGTTTATCTAGGTTGCATCTGAAAGAAATAGTTACTTCTTTTGCCAAAGTGATTACTTAAATTTAACTATATAGGAAACGTACTGGTTACATATTGATCTCACAGAATGTTAAATACTTTTATTGGACTTTAAAATTTGGGAAAAATGTGAAAATTTTGTTTATGTAAAGATAACCATAAAGTTAAATATTTGTTTATGTTAAATCCGGGAAAATTGTATTACTCCAAATATCTTTTGTTACCTGACATTACTGATAATGCAAGAGGACTTGATAGTTTTGATAGATACACAGTATGCTGCTCAGTGACCATGGCGGTTACCCATCACTGATGCTCACAGTTCCTATCAGTGGCACCAGACTTGATGTGCTGTGCGTGTGTTCTCCAAACTGCTGTCAGCTAAAAATTAGATTTCATGTGCTTCTGGTTGAGAGGTAATGCCAATTCACAGAAATTTTTTTTATTGTCTTTGTGTATTATGTGAGATATTGTCAGCTCTGCAATTGTTATGTCTAAAATCATCTGTGTGGTTTCCTTCCATTATAGAGAGGAGGAATGCGTAGAAAATAGTATACACTGTGTTGACTTTACAGCTGTAGGCTCTGTTCTCAGATGCTTGACGCTTTTTTGACATGTCCTTCTCCCTGGTCTGACCTTATATGCTTTCTGCTGTTCTTTCGTGAAGTCCATAGAAATCAGCTGGCCATGAATGAATGATGAATAGTTACAAACATTTTTCGCTCATGCAGACATTTGTGTAATACTTTTAAGACACATTTCCAAGATTGTACTTTGTATGCAAATGTAACCACTTGAGGGATGACATTGTTAGGGATTGAGCATAGAACTTCTTTGGTATAAATTCAGAGCCACACTATCTGAACATGTTGTCCTAATTGTGTGGTGTTTGTCAAACCGCTTATTGTTAATGCATTTAAATAGACTTGTTTACTATGGTATAACCCTCAGTTTGATATGACCCTCATGTTTATTAGGAAAAGTCATACATTTACTGTGCCTACATCACTGGTGTTACATAGTAAGGAAAATTGCTTTCAGCATGTTTTAGAACTATATGAGCACTTGACTGTGTAATGGGCTTTTCCTGCCTAGGAGGTCTTTATTTTTGGATTTGTTTTTAAATTTCTGATTCAGCAAAGATTCCATGCTATCTTGGTGTGTTTTGTGTACTCTTAACAGAATACCTGAAACTGGGTGATTTATATAGAATAAACGTACCACAAATCTGGAAAATATAAGATCAAGATATCCAATTCTCAGAATGCCCTTCATTATTTTTCTCCTAATTGTACCATTTTGTTTGTTTGTGAAAGCTTTTACCAGACATTTAAGAAAGAAATACCATTCAACATAAAACATAATAAATTATAAAATAGGTCAACGCTCTGGTGTTAGTTACCATAGTCTGTGTCTTCCTTTCAGTCATTAATAATTGTTTTAAATAGCCATTGACCCTGGCATTGGGTGCATATTACTGCACATCCTCCTGTTGAGAGTTGATCCCTTAATCATCATGTAAATTCCCTTAAATTTTTGTGCTGACATCTCCTTTGTCTGATATTAGAATTGAGTATACATTCTCATTTTCATATCTTTTTCTTCCTTAAGCTTTCAGTTTGTATATATCTTTGTTGGTGTTTTGTTTGTGGTTGACAGGAAATTAATATGTAGTTTTTGATTGAAAATAGTATGTATCTTTTGATTGAAGTGTTTAGGTAATTTATTTCAGGATTATTATTAAAAGGTAATGAGTTAGTCCTACCAATTTTACATTTCCATTGTTTTGTTTGGATTTCCTTGGTACTTTTCCTTGTCCTATTCAAAGTGGTGTTTCTTTGCTGCAGTGATCAGTTAGAACCTGCCCTGGCTCTGGCTCCAGTTTCACCCCAGAGTCAGTGTAGTCTGTGAGATTCTATCACAGGCAGTGTCCCAGCGACTGGCTGCCATGGTCTACTCCCACCTTCCTATCTGGATGTGCTGTCTCCTCCAGGGCCTGACGTGCTGTGTCTGCTGCGTAATACACTGCATGCTTCTCTATGGTATCTCTCCACTTTCCATAGAATTTCCACTGCCTACTTCTCTCCAACTTTCCCATGATATTGTATGTTTTCCATTTTTATTTTGCTAGCTTTTGTAGTCCAAGTCAGAGTATCTTCCTTATTCAGCCGTGTTGGCTACTGGGAAGGGCCAGCCTTAGCGAGTCATCCTGTGGTGGAAGGCAGAAGGGCATTATAGCATGTGCATTCGGGAGCAATCAAGGGCCAAAATACATTTTATAGCAAATTTACTATTGCACTAATGTTGCTAATCTATTCAGAAGTTAGAGCAAACCCTTGTGACTTAATCATCTATTAAAGGTCTCACCTCTCTGTTGCATTGGAGGTTGTTTCTAACACTTGAATTTTGGATGACACATTCAAACCTAAGTGCATGCTAGTATTGTTCCTGTTATGATTTATATTAACCTACTTCTTTTGTCCATGGAGTAGTCTAAAATCAAAGTTTAAATGTGTGATTGGTATTTTCTTAGGTTTCTAAAAACAGTATATAGACATTATAAATCAGTTAAAAGTTTTAAAATTTTATTTTTCAATATAGATGCTTCTAATGAAATAATTAAATGCATCAATTAAAATACTTGCAGGCATTTTACTTCATTGTTCCTTTATAATATCCACACTCATAATACACAATTTTAAATTAGAAATGAGTCTTAAACAATATTATTATTATTATTATTATTATTATTTGCGTGTGCTTCTTCGAAACTTACGTATTTCCATTTCTAAAGTATTGTATTTCTAAAGTATCAAGAAGGGAAAAGCATAGTGTAACAATTACTACTGTCATCAGCTGTGTTAGCTGTGCTATATTCCATGACTAGTATAATCCTGACAATAGCCATTAAGCTTAGATATCATTAATACCATTTTAAGAATGAGAAAGTCTTTAGACTAATATTAATGCTGGAATTCAGAACTAATAGCAGGAGCAGAACCAAAAATCAGACTGCTCTCTGCTTTCTCTAACACAGAACTTCTCATCTGTCTCTTTTGTGAATGGATGATGCTTTTGTTTCAAACAGGAAAAAAAAAGAGTGATATTTGCATAAGTAACCAAGGGAAACACGGTCTGAGTACCTTTCCTCTCCCAACATAGCTCATGTGAAGAAGGAAAGTGGAGATGCTGAGCAACAAACAATTGCATTCTAAGGAGCCCCTAACAGCAGTGTTGTAGATGACCGTAAGCCCTCTGAACATGGAGTCTAGTTAGCCAAGCAATTATACTTGGATGTTTTTTAGTGTTGATCCAGATGTGAAGATACAATGGAGCATGCATCTGTACTTAAAAATCAAAGATGGACTCCCAAACTGTTAAATATACCTTGACAATGGGATGCTGGACTCTCTGCCCACAACTCCACAAACAATAAAGAGCAGATTGATGAACTTATGAGTAATTATGAAGGACTGTATATACTGTTGTGATGATATAGGGAAAATCAGTGGGGGGAGGTAGGAACTTGGGGAGGGGGAATCCCAGAGCCTATGGGACTGTATCATAAAATAATAAAATGAATAAATGTGATATTTTTAAAAAGGTAAAAAATGTGTTAATGCTTAATATACCAGTACATAAATGAACAAAATTTTGGAGAGATAAAGCACAAAAGACATATACCTGTCAGCAAAACTTGTAATTTATTTATCCTCACTGTTTTTTTCAGTTGGCAGAAATATTTTTGAATAATAGTTTGTGTGCGTTACAAAGAGCATGGTGCAATTAGAACTCTCATTATTGTTTCTATTTTAGAAGCTAATTTTGTAATATATACTGATTGCCTTAGCAAAGCATTATCACTGGCCCAAAGTGATTGTTGTTTGAAACTTTTCCCAGGTACACAATGCAGAATAGAGAAAAGTAATATGTATAATAACCATATATCAGTGTATTCATCAAAAAATTGCTTAGAATTGTTGGATTGGGATCTTGAAGGCAGATACAGCATTTATCTGAGATATAGTACATTAGCTGATAATCAGGGCTGATTGGTTACCTGATATGTTGGTTGATTGGACAGATAGGGAAAGAGAGACAGGAGAGAGGCAGGCAGAAAAGAAAGGGAGTTCTTAAAAAAGAAATCCCTAAAACCACTGAAAATTACAGTAACTATAGCAACATGGAAAATCATTATTGTATTAAGTTAGATATTACGTGAGAAATAGGATAAAAATTACTTAAACTCTGGGAGAACTGACTTGTAGCACTGAAGTGAATATTGTGTATTGAAATACTTAATGGGAAGAGGTATGTGTGATTTTTCCTTATGCAGTGTTACTTTTATAATTGTGAATGGTTACGTTGAGGCGCTGATCGAAGCAAGACATCGAGGCATGGGGAGTGCACTCTGCTGTGCCCTCCAGCTCTGAGTCAGCTTTTCCCCTAGCTCTGTCACAGTCACGAGTAGAGTCCTCTTCATTCACTTTTTGGGATCTGTTGTTAGATAGCCTTAAGGCATTTCTATATAAGTGTTCTTGAATTTCTTGTCTTAAATTAATAACAAGTGAAGTGTGATAATACTTCTGTTCAGAGGTAAAAATTTAATCCTCTCACTCTACTTAGCTATCTGAATGCGTTTCTCTGAAAACCCGAAAAATACCTGAAAATCTGGTTTAAAAAAAAAAAAACTGAACGTCAACTTTGTCACTGGCCAGTATTGCTTATTCTTTATATGGACTGGGGGAATTATTAATATATGTTGGGAGACAATTTTTGGCTTCTTTGCTTTTGGTGACTCATACAACGGGTATAGTACTGTAGCACATGTGGTCTTGATGCTCAAGTGTCTCCCATTTCTGCTGCAAACGGGTTTCATCTTACACCTGCTTCAGGGACTCATCAGAAGCGCAGTGCCTGATACTGCCATCCTGATAACTGTGAGCACCACCCTGCATCATTCTGGGCTCACTCATGGATTTGAGGGTTCATTTGATCCTAAGAGGAACTCGTAAGGACTTAGTCAGATAATACTGTAGTTAGTTTTAAATTTTCTTTTCTAAGTGAGAAAATAGCGTTTTAACTTGACATTAGTTATTTTATCCAGTTTCATCAGTGCTTTGAGAAGAACATTAGACTCTTGAGTCTAACATGACTTTGAGTCCAAGACTTTCAGAAATAGATTGTGGTACCTTGATCTCTGAAATTAAGTTTTCTTAAGTGTTGGATAAGAACTTTGACTAAGTTAATTCCTGATATCGTTTTCAAGTCTAATCCTGTGATTCTCTGATTTGCTTATCATCACATTAAGCTTTAATCTTGTTTCGGAGAAGCATTCCGCATTTCTTCCAGCTTTGCAGATGATCAGATAGTGGTGCCTTGTGCATTCTTTCACAGTTAGGTGTTGGAAAGGTCATGTGAGAGCTGTCTATTTCTGGAAGAAAATTTTACTGCCTATGTCGTAAGCCTTAAGGAATTTAAATTCAGAATATTTGAGGAAGTTTGGGGGGGAAAACTAGCTTGAAAGTGAAAAACTTTAAGTAATGTTAAGCTTCCATCTCAACTCTAATTTACAGGTTGTGAACTGGCTTGAAGGGCCTGGATCAGAACAACTCAGAGCCCAGTGGGGGATTGGTGACTCCATTAGGGCTTCCCAGGCCCTCCAGCAGAAGCATGAAGAAATTGAGAGCCAGCACAGTGTAAGAAACCATTTATTTCTGCAGTTAAAATGTTATTATTAATGTGCATCATTAGGAGCATATGTGATACTACATGATAAGTTGTTACCAACGTTGGGGCATAAAGTACAGTGTGGTAAATGCTTAGAGATTATAAAGCACATTTGGGGGCCTGGTGTGATAGCTTAGTGACTAAACCCTTGCCTTTCTTCTACCAGGATCCCATATGGGTGCCGGTTCATATCTTGGCTGCTCCACTTCCCATCTGGCTCCCTGCTTATGGCTTGGGAAAGCAGTGGAGGATGACCCAGAGCCTAGGGATCCCACACCTGTGTGGGAGACCCAGAGGAAGCTCCTGGCTTCTGGCTTTGTATCTGCTCAGCTCTGAGCATTGTGGCCACTGGGGAGTGAAGTAGCAGATGGCAGATGTTTCTCTCTGTATCTCCTCTCTGTATGTCTGCCTTTCCAATAATAACAATAATAATAATAATAATAACAATAAAGATCTTTTTAAAAATAGCACATTTGACTATTTTATGCATACTCATTGTAAGATTGGCTATAATTTTTTCTTCAATAGAATTTAATTAGTGTTACTTGAAATATTCCATATAAAATTTTGAGTGATAGTACAGAAATAGAGTTTTCATTTCAGTAATTAAATTTGTAATGCTTATGACCAAAACTTCTATTCTTTGGTTCTTAGAAAGGGGTTCTTTTCTGCCTTATCTTAGATTAGATAATTCAGTGAAATGCTAGGGAGGCAGCAGGTGGCAGCTTTGGCAGATACATCCCTGTAGTCTGTGTAGGAGTTCTGGATGGAATTCTTGACTCCTGGCTTGAGCCTGATCCAGTTTCTCTTATTTTGTCAACTTGTCCAGATGAATAGTTGGTGTTGATATTGTGACACTGCTTATAATTGTGGTATCCAATGTGAGCACCAGTCTGAGTACTAGCTGCTCCAAATTGTATCCACCTTCCTGCAGAGTTCTTTGGGAAAGCAGCAAAAGATGGCCCCCAGTGCTTGAGCCCCTGCACCCATATGGGAGACCAGAATGGAATACCTGTCCAGGCTTTGGCCTGGTGCAGCCCCAGTCCTTCAGGCCATTAGGGGAGTACAACCGTGGGTAGAAGATCTTTCTCTGTCTTTTCCTCTGTCTCTGTAACTCTGCCTCTCAAATAAACAATCTTTTTTTCAAAAGTAATAAAGTCTCACTTAAAAATACTTTAAATAAAATTGTATAGTATTAAAATATGTATCTTATTTAATAATAATGATGATGCTAATAAATATTTTTATTATATATATATCCCAAAATGCACAACACTTTGTGTCCAGGCTGCTGCATTTCCCTTCCAGCTCTCTGCGTATGGCCTGGGACAGCAGTGGAGGATGGCCTGAGGCTTTGAGACCCTGCACCCACATGGGAGACCCACAGGAGGCTCCTGGTTCCTGGCTTTGGTCTTGGTGGCCATTTAGGGAGTGAACCAGCAGTTGGAAGATCTTTCTCTGTTTCTCCTCCTCTCTGTATATGCGCTTTTGCGATAAAAATAAACATAAAAAACAATAGCATAACATCCCCAGATTAGCAAGAAAAAAAGAAATAATTAAAATAGGGAAGGAAATAAGACATATAGGGAACAGAAGAACAATACATAAGATCCGTGAATCAAAGAGCTGGTTCTTTGGGGGCAAAAATCAACAAAATAGATCCCCTACTAGCCCAACTAAACAAAACAAAACAAAAAACAAAACAAAAATAAAAACAAAAAAAGAAAGGGGGAGGAAATATGGAGCAAAAGAATGAGAAACAAAAGAAGAAATATAACAGATCACTCAGACATAATTAGAATCATCAGAAACTGTTACAAGCAACTATATGCCAGCAAATCAGAAGACCTAGAAGAAATGGATAGATTTTTGGAAACATAATCTACCAATATTGAATCATGAGGCAATTAATAATCTAAATAGACCTATAACCGGGTTGGAGAGCAAATCAATAATTAAATTCCTCTCAACTAAGAAAAACCAGATGACTTCACTCATGAATTCTACCAAATGCTTCAAAAACAAACAAACAAACAAACAAACAAACCAAAAAACAAACTTACCCCAACCCTCCACAAGCTATTCAAAACAATACAAAGGGAGGCAGTCTTTCCAAGCTCTTCATACAAAGCCAACACCACCTTTAATACCAAAGCCAACAGAGAAAGAGGATTACAGACCGGTATGCCCTTGATGAACATAGATGCTAAAATCCTCCACAAAACAGTAGCAACAGGATCTAATGGTACATCAGACAGATCATTCACCTGGACCAGGTGGGATTTATCCCTTTCGTGTAGGGATAGTTTAACATGCAGGTCAGTAATGTGGTACACTACATCAACAACTTGAAGAATAAAAATCATACTATCATCTCAATGGATACAGATAAAATCCAACACCACTTAATGCTAAGATCCCTGAGCAAGATAGGCACAGAAGGAACATTCTACAACGCAATCAAAACAATCTATAAAAAACTCAATGCCAGCATCATACTAAATGAGGGAAGACTCGAAGGGTTTCCCCTAAGATCTAAAACTACAGATGGGGATGTCCACTTTCACCACTGCCATTCGATGTAGTATTGGAAGTCCTTGCTAGAGCTTTTAGGCAAGAAAAAGAAATTAAAGGAAATTAATGAACATAAACCAGTGGCTGTAGCATACACAAGTAACTTCATGGCTGAGAAAGAACATAAGAGGACAGTCTCCTTTAAAATAATGTAGAGGAATCTTAAATACCATTGGAATAAACCTAACCAAGACATGAAAGATCTCTGATGAAAATTACAAAACATTAAAAGAAAAAAAATAGGAGAAGCCGTTAAAAGATAGAGAAATGTATTGCCTTTCCCAGGCACGTTAACAGAGAGCAGGATGGGAAACAGCACAGCTGAGATTCCAGCTGGAGATCATGCTTGGGATGTCAGCAGCACACACAGCATCTTACCCCATTCTACCACAATGCCAACCCCTTTATTCATAATACCTAAAGACATATACAGGTATGTTGAAAGCTACATTTATAGACATGACCCCAAAAGAAGAGAAAACGATTGGCTTATTGGAGGTTTTGTGTCTTTCTTAAACAATTGTTTTGTTGTACGAGGTGAATATATTAACAGATTTCACAGTGAATTCGGAGTGTAATGATACTTTGCCCATCCTCCTTTATTTTTCCTTTTTTTTTTCTTTTGAATTTTTACAGTGGCACAGTTCAGTGCACAATTACAGGTTTACTAAATAGCTAGTAGAAAAATAAACTCACTGTTCTTCAAGAGTATAGACGAAGGCTGTAAACATTTTGGTATTTGATTATTCTTTACGCCATTTATGATATTGAGAATTTGTATCAAGACTAGGAAGTGGAGACAAATTGAATGGGAGTATGGTTTGCCCATGATTATTTTGTTATTATTATTATGTATTTGAAAGAGTCACGTAGAGTGACAGGAACTTTGATCCACAGGTTCATTCCCCAAAAGGCCACAGTGCTTGGGACTGGGCTATGCCAAAGGCCTGGAATTCCACCCAGATCTCTAGCAAGGTACTAAGGATTTGGGCCACCTTCTCTGTTCTCTCAGGCACAATTAGCAAAGAGCCCAGACTCGAACGGGCACTCTTGGGGGATGCCTGCATGACAACACTTGACTCATTGCACCACAGTGTCGGAGTAATAGTTATTGATGTTGGGTGGTTTATGGAGTTTCGTTATGCTTTTCCTAGGGATTTTTTTGGGCATTTTCAAATCCAAGGGAAAAAAAAAAAAGACAGACGATTGCACTGTTTTAACCAATAGGTGGCGCTACATCATCAACCTGAAAAGAGTACCAGAAAAAGAAGCACTGCAATGTGCATCTCTACTTTCCAATAAAAGGAAAACTGTTCAATGAGACTGTTAATTATACTTTGGCTGTTTGATACTAGATTTTCTTGGATCTCCTGTGTCAACACATCATGATACACTTAAAGAGAATATTGGAATTGTGACTACAGCTGAAGAAGTATATTATTATAATAATATGGGTGGATTTTAGGAGGGAGGAAGAATGGGAAGGGAGGAAAAGAGGGGAAGCCCTATATCTACAACACTGCATAATGGAAAGCAATAATGAGAAAGAAAGAAAATAGGTTAGTTGGTGCTGGCTGATGCTTAAGAATATGCTAATATTTCCTTAAAGCTTTTCCTTTTGTAAATAAAAGTCAGCAGCTAAAAAGCATTTGTGGGAATTATATGAAATTATATTGAAATGATCTAGTATTGCCACTATTTAAGGGAATTTTTAAAACTTAAACACTGTTTTACATTAAAGCACAGTGTCAAGTATTGAAATTTAGATTCAATATAGGAGAAAATCTCCAGTATTTTAGAAAGTACTAATATACGTAGAAAATTAAAATTTGAACTGGTAGTTCTCTGACAAAGCTTGAAAATTAGAAATGTGTTTTGTCTTTGACTAACAAAATCACTAAGGTACATGGAAATGAGGATTGCTGAGGCTGACAATAATTTTAGAAGTATTTAGTACAGTAACGTGTGTTTTTATGGTTTGAGGGGTTATAAGTGAGTGCTAGGGCAAGCAACACAAGGAGTCGTTGATGCCTGAAGCTGCGCCTGCACGGCTCACAGCGCTGACGGCTAGCTCCGTAGGCAGGCACCAGATGCAATGAGTGGAAGCAGAGGGCCACATACCAGATTGAGATACATCTCCCCCAGTACAGTCACTTTCGAAGCTTGAGCGAGTTGTCTGTGTTTCCTTTTTCCTAGATTGGAATTCGTTGTTCATGGCGAAATACACACACACATACATGTATATACACACACATACATATCAGTGTGTATAGATATTAATGTGTAATATATGCATATATATGTGAATCCCCAGTATGTTACCTCCTATGCATCGCCAGCAGTTCACATACTGGTTACGGTGTCAGTTCTGAATATTACGGTCCTAAATGTGAGCATGCTACCTTATTTCTTATTTGCTGCTGTAATCTAAATCCCAAATCTTGGTGACTTTTTAAAGAATTTGCTATAAAGTAATTGTTTTCCCTGCAATATAATATGAATGAGACAGCCCAGAGAAAGGACATAAATGAACCAAATACAGACCTTTTATCTAAAGTTGTATGCATTCTGTCATCCCTTACTTTCCCCTATTTCCTTGGGAGATTAATATTTATTGATTTAAGATGTACACATATATGTTTTCTCCAGATTCCTCCCACCCTTATTGCAAAGAGACTTACTTCTTTATGACAGCCTCAGCAGATAGGTAATGTCAGTGTCAAAGTCTTCGTCTTCAGAATTTCATGAGACATGTTCTTACCTTTTGTTTATATACATAGTGAGATTGGTAGAGCCCATATGTTATGGGTTCAAACAGGGAGATATCAGCTACGTAGGAATGTTTCTAGGAACAAGAGTCAGTGGCTGTACTTGTTAAAATACATATTCCAGGGTGCTGGTCACAAAGAATCTGATTGCATAGGTCAAAAGTAGAACATTTTTAGTATCCAAGCTGATTGGATGCTATTCCAGGATTTTGTCCTTCAAGTAGGTCCTTTGCTTAGATTCCTTGCTCTTACTTTCAATGAAAGGAACTTATTTTCAACTAAGAACTAAATTTGTGGGGACAATAAATAACTAAAACCTTATTCCTTAAATTATTGCTGGTCGCAGAACCACTGCACTTCAAAAATGGGACTTGTATTTAGAGTATTAGCTAAATATTTGTGTACAAAATGTAATAAAACCATATCTCATTGCTATAATAATTTAATTGTATCAGAGAATGTTTTCTACTTTGAAAAAGTCTTTATTAATTATTGAAACAGCACTGTAGTTAATGAAGTATCCTATGTGTATCATCTAATTAAATGTGTAGAGTAACTTGTGGAGTCAGGTACCATCATCACCTTCGGGCAGAGCAAGATTTCTTAACTGTAGCACTGTTAACACTTTGGGCCAGATTAGTCTTTAGGAGTTGTCATGTGCACTATGTGGTATGTCACGGAATCACTGGCTCCTGGGAGATGAGGTGACATCTCTCCTTCTCATTTGTGATAATAAAAAACATTTCCAGGCATCACCAATTGTTCTTATGGGGATGGAGAATGAGACAGGCAAAATCAGCCTTTGTTAATTGTCAATTAATCTATAATGTTTAATAGGTCTTATAGATTCACTCAGTAATGTTTACTGAGCATATAGTATGTCTTCATATGTTACATTCTCGGAATATAGCAGAACCTTCCCGTAAGGTAAACAGAGTGAACAGGATAGGAAACAAAGTTGAGACTAATTCAGGAAATCCATTGAGGAGTGCTGGCATTTCAAGCTGATGGAGGAATCAGGCTTTGAGCTTGAGCAACCTTTAAGGTGGGGATATTGGGAAAGATGGAGAATCAGTATCTTTGGAGGCAGGTTACATTTTAGATATCTGATAGTCATCGTGGTGGAGATGGCTAGGAAGCAGAAAGAGACTGGCACTGTGGCACAGCACGTCAAGATAGCGCCCATAATGACCAGACTCCACATGAGAACACTGCTTTGAGTCTTAGCTGCTCTGCTTTTGAGCACTTGGAAAGACAGCAGAGGAGACAAGTCCTTGTGCCCCATAAGCTACATGGAAGACTGGATAGTGTTGCAGGCATCTGGATTCCATCTGGCTGAAATCTTTTAAAAAGAAATAGAATGGGAAATGAGAGTGGATGGGGCTGTGTTTTGTTTTATTGTTTGGCAATTTGAGGTTTAAGTTTTTTTTTTTTAAGATTTATTTATTTATTGGAAAGGCGGATATACAGAGAGCAGGAGAGACAGAGAGCAAGATCTTCGTCCGATGATTCACTCCCCAAGTGAGCGCAATGGCTGATGCTATGCCGATCCGAAGCCAGGATCCAGGAACCTCTTCCGGGTCTCCCACACGGGTGCAGGGTCCCAAAGCCTTGGGCCATCCTTGACTGCTTTCCCAGGCCACAAGCAGGGAGCTGGATGGGAAGTGGAGCTGCTGGGATTAGAAGCGGTGCCCATATGGGATCCCGGGCGTTCAAGGTGAGGACTAGCTGCTAGGCCACGCCGCCGGGCCCGAGGTTTAAGTTTAAAAGTTTACAGGAAATACATATTATGAGAAAAGCTACTCATGGATTTTAAAATGTTCTGCATTAAAATAACTTTCAGTTCCATTTTCCATATATTTTTTGAAGTGCCTTAGCTGAGTAAAATGCACAATCCTAAGTGTGTATTTTATTGTGTATTATAGTATAGTGCATGCTGATGGAAATAATCCAACTGAAAGATAAAAGTTGACGGGGGAGGAAAGAAGAAGGTAATGATAATTTCAAGAGCAAAACTTTATGTGGGCAATGGGAAGTACTGTGTAATGGCCACATGGAGCAGTGTCTTTAGAAGCAGGCACAGGGCTGTCCATTATTGACAGTAGAGAAGAGTACAGGTCACAGAAAGGAAGATTGCAAATTTAACAGTTCCTGTTCTCAGTGAATTTAAGAAGCAAGATCTTTGAGGATTTAGAGGTAAAGGAGGAGTGTTCGGGATTTAAGGAGTGAAAATAATTCTGAGAGTAGGAAAGTATACCGACTAGAGAAACATAGAAGCATTGTGCTAAAGCTCAGTGTTTAGTGATCACTTCACATCAAATCTGCTCTTCTAGTGTTTCTTTTGTCCATTTTCAGCTATGCTGGTACAGGCACACAGAAGGCTGAGAAACCAGGTTTAGGAATTTGACAGGTTAATCTTAGAGAAGAAAGGAGGGTATTGGTTTATATACTGGGTGATGAGAGCCTGTGACCAAAGATGGACATATTTATCTGGAATCAATAGAAGGGTAGGCTCTAGATGGGGATGTTTGTATGGCATACTAAATAATGAAAAGTGAATTGGGAAGTCAGTAGCTGATGATCAGAAAATGAGATTTTTAAATGAAAAACTTCATAGTTGTATAGTGGTATATGTTGGCAAATTTTTAGTGGCCAGTGGTGTAGGTAACTGAACTGAGGTGGAAGGGAGATAGTTGGACGTGAGTGGAAGCACTGAAGACCCAGCGTCAGTCTACATAGAGGGAGCTGCTGAGAAGGCTGGTGCTCCGGGCAGTCTGGGAAGATGGAACCCAACACCATGCCTTGCGAAGCAGATGCGGTGTTTCAGAGAAGAGGAGGAAGAAATGGTCTGGAAGTAGTAATGAGGAACGAGATGGACGTAGTCTCCCCTTCAGGTTTGAAATGTCTGGTATAGACACAGACAGTAGTCTTTTGAGAGGGCTGCAGGGTGTTATTTTTTTCTCTAACGTTGGACAGTTTTTACTTAGAGCAAGAAAGAGAGGGAAGTGTTGGATTACCAGATGAGGATAGGTATATTTTGCTTTTAACAAGCAGTAAAATCCAGGGATTGTAAAGGGAGGACTCAAGCGATGAGAACTCCCAACCCCCGCCCCATTTAAATGATTTTGCCCTAGAATAATTTTTATATGTGTTAGTTTATCTGGGAAAATTGCAAAATGCAATATCCTCCAAGAACTCAAAACTACTTAAGTAATTCATTTTGTTTACCACAACACCATTTTGTAGATATTGGGATTTTTCCCTTTGCTACCTCCCCGTTTCCCCCTCTCGTGCCATTATTCCCCAAATGGTTACAGTACTATATAGGCCCTTAGTAACAATTATAAGCTTAACTTTCTGTTATTGTATCATGATGTACTTATTTTGAGTAGGGGTGAAATATAGCATCATGTTGTACAGATGTATTCATTTGTGTCATAATGGGAGTTCTTGCTTTGGGAGCAGAGACATGTTCTGTAAACACCCAGTACTCTAGTCTTCATTGTACTGTTCATCTGTGAGTGTATATATGTGTACTTGGTAACCTACATCTATTTACTTTCCAACATCTTGATTACAGGAGTGGTTTGCAGTATATGTGGAGCTTAATCAACAAATTGCAGCACTCCTGAACGCTGGAGATGAGGAGGATCTTGTGGAACTGAAGTCTCTGCAGCAACAGCTTAGTGATGTTTGTTACCGACAGGCCAGTCAGCTGGAGTTTAGACAGAATCTCCTGCAAGCAGCTCTTGAGTTCCATGGAGTTGCCCAAGATGTAAGTGCCCACTGTGATTGCTCTGATTTTTTTCAAGTGATCTGAGCACTGATCTGCACATGATTTTTTGCTGGTTTGCATGCCTCCTAATTATTTTTCTGGAACAATAAAATAATTTACTGATGGGGATAATGAGATAAACTTCTTTGATTTTTTTCTCTTGAGCTGTGTTCTTAAGCCATTCTGCATGCAGCTAAACCTTTTATTGTCTAACTTGAGTGTTCTAAACTAGTATATACATTTAATTTTAACTGTTTATCAGTGTGTATGCTTTAAAACCTAGCCAGAAATGGAGGCATCAGTGATGTTTTGCATTCTGCCGACCTGGATATATCTCAGTGTTTTCTCAGTGCATGCGTCTCTGTATGTGTTCTCCAGATCACATGTATCCTAATGATTGGCCCTTGTCTTTTAACAGCATAGTCTTTACAAGTGTAATTGTGATAACCTCATTAGGTATAAAGCTCATTAATCATTAAACACTTTAGATGCTGATTACATCAGGGTTATCTCTTTGGTGTCCCTCTGCTTTAGTTGTCTCAGCAGTTGGATGGCTTATTAGGGATGTTGTGCGTAGATGTAGCACCAGCTGATGGAGCATCGATTCAGCAAACTTTAAAACTGCTTGAAGAGAAGCTGAAAAGTGTTGGTAAGCAGATTTTAAAAATGCTGAAACATAAGAGAGTTTTGTTTTTTTTAAGTATTATTACTGTGGTTAGACAATTAAGTCAAATTATGTTGAACTAATTATTTACAAGAAGCACAGGGAAAAAAAGGTTTTCTTTGTCCCCTAAAGGGGTTTAATTTAATGATAAAAGTTTATTTGTTATTGTTGGTAAGTCAGTCTTCCCTTCTTTGGGCCTTTAGCCTTTCTGGTTTGCCCAGCTATATCTACAGGTGCTATGTCTTGCATATGCTATGATCAGTCATTTGTAGTGCATGCATAAATTGCAATTAGCTGTGTAGTGTTTTGTGGTGACCCTTGTATGCCCCAAACCGTGTTTTATGCAATGGTTTTTGTTGTTATCATATCCTAACCTTGTTAAAAATGTAGTTGGTTTGGTTTTGTGCATTTGTTTTTCCAAGCTGATAATAACACCATCAGTATATATTCCAGTTTCCCTAAGCTGGTTCTGTCACATGACGTTAAGACCTTTTGCATTTTCCCACAGTAGGAGCACAGGGGGCTGCCCTAGGTGGGGATGGAAATGAGAAGAGAGTGTCATATTCAGTGAGACTGCAGAAGGGTGAATAAGGGAGAGGAAGCAAGACCTTTGCAAAGAAGTAGTACAGACTAGGAGCACATGATTTAAGTTAGTTATTGAAACAACTTGAAGAAGTTGGTTTGAAAAATCACGTTTGTATTGGCATTTTACTTGTAGTTCTTGTTATTTTAGCAAAAAGCATATTGGTTTTTAATATGCTAAATAAAATGGTTTTAAAATGTCAGGTTTTCTTGAGCCATTCTTTTCCTTAAAAAACAGAAGAGTTCCTCTATACATTACTGACTGAATAGTGCAATAATGCATCCTAAATATTGCTTCTTACGGTATATCAGTGAAACTGTTTTTCACTCAATGTTCAGCGTTCTTTTATACCATTATACGTCATAAATGTTTTGAAATCCTAAGCATTTTATGCTTTTTTTAAAAAAATACTTGCTTTATTCTAAAATTTGGGCTACATGGAGCAGGAAGGGAAATAGAGAAAAATCTATTCACCAAAATAGACATCGCCGTGCTTCTTCCTGCTTACAGTTTTTATAAGTAGTTTTACTCTGTGGGAATGTGTGTTTTGAAAAGTCCCTTCAGGGAGAATTTTGCACAAGGGTGAACTCAAGCAGAGGTTTTCCTGCTTGAAGAGTTCAGAAGACTCCATGCCCTGATGGTGTAATATACAAAACTGATAGACTTGGCATTGAAGTACAGAGTCTGCAAAGAGCATTTAGTTGGGAGGGGGAACACCTTGGTTATTTAGGAAATTACATCTGATGAATTCTATTTTAGATGTGGGATTGCAAGGTTTGCGTGAGAAAGGTCAAGGTCTCCTGGATCAGCTCTCCAATCAGGCTTCCTGGGCCTATGGAAAGGATGTAACCATTGAGAACAAAGAAAGTGTGGACCACATACAAGGAGTCATGGAAGACATGCAGCTTAGGAAACAAAGGCAACGTTTGACTGTTCATTTTTACCATGCTAACATAGTACTAATTAAAATGAAAGTTATACAACTTATCCTTTACAAACTGTAATTTCTTATCTGCTCTACAGTAGGCATGTGGTAGGTTTTTGGTAAATGTAGTAATTGTTGTGTATAATTACACCAACAAAGAATGAAAATTTGTTCAATTTGTACATACCTTTATCCTTTGTACTTGATAATTAAGATTTCTGTTAGAGTCAAGTAACTCACATTTCATGCCCTCAATACAACATAAACTACTGTGCTATTGGAGAAATTTTTTGGAGAATTTTTCTTTTCTGTTCTGGTTTAGTTTAGAATTGGTATTAAGTCTAGTCTCTCTGCTGATCTACTTATTCATCTAAACTTTGTAATAAGTGTACACATTCATTGTTTCCATATTCACTGTTGAATGAGTAGACAATAGATTGATTATGCTTATTACCTTTGATATAGAACTAGGAATTGAAAAGATTCTTTGAAAACACATTTGGCACCATCAACTACAAAGTAAATGATCAGTATTTAAGAATAAAACATCTAGAGGAGTGTCTGAAATTTTGTCATGCAGAAGGCTTCCCAGAAACCCTCCTCCATATCACAAAGAACACAGCCAGTCCCAGATACTCCTCTGCCTCTCCACCTCCTGCTGGCTGATATATCCATGTCGCAGAGGGACACTGGACTCTCCTCTCAGCAAAGCCCATCTTTTCTTATGGACTCTGAATTGGATCTCTGACCTGTCTTCCCATTCTCTACTTTGATTCCTGCCCCTCATTTAAGTTCTTTAATCTCTCCTATTTTTGTTTTTATTTTAAAATTTAAACAATTACACTGTGTCTGTTTTTTAAAAATCTTTTGTTTTCTAGTCTCAGAGCTCTCCTTCGTTCTTCAACTGCCAAGTCATTTGAAGGCTTAGTATGTATTTTTACTATTTACATACTATCTTCAATTTTGTTTTCAAACTCCTTCACTATGACTTCTGCCCTCATAATTTCAATTCGGTTCAGTCTTATTGTAATTGCTTTATGGAAAAAAATTCCTGGTCTTTAGCAAAATCCATGAAATGCCTGTGGTCTTTAGATATTTAATTGGTGTTAGGTACAACTGACTTTCCTTCGCAAGCTTGTCTTGAAAACCACCATTTACGATCCTTCTCCTGGCACTGACTGCAGTTCCTCTTGTGTTTGTCAGGTTTCTCGGTCTGCAGCTAAACACACTGCTTTTAGGGTTTGTTCTGAGGCCAGGCTCTCCTCTTTGTGGGCAGTCTTACTACTTTAATAATTTTCTTTGCCATTAGTAGGGTTTGACAATTATGGCCCTTGCCTAGACCCTTTACCTGTGCTCCTTCCAGTTAACCAGCTTTGGCTGGATGCCGCAGTGCTCCTCAAACATATGTCCAGATTAAATTACTTCCCCCCAAAATTTGTTCTTCTCTTGACTTTGACTTTTCTGTTTAGGTTAAAGTTATCATTTGCTACCAAGCTTGTTTGTTCTAGAATCTTTGCTCCTTACCAGACTATATGCCCAGCAGTAATCTTTCTAAAGCACAGGGATTGTGAAAACCATGTTTCAGTGACCTTTCTTTCTTCTTTTGCAGATGAAGTTCATTCTCCCTGGGATAGTGTAGAAGACCTTTTATAATCAAATCTTGCATAATCTTGTATAATTTTCTTGCAGAATAATGCTTCTGTTTTCATCTTCCTAAGTGCACCGTGCCTTTCCATGCATTAACTATTATTTCTTTCTTCATTTTCTGCCTACTGGATTCCCTCTAATTCTTCAAGACTCAAGTGTACTTTTTAAGTATTTCTGAGCTACATTAGTCACTCTTTCTTTCCTACTCCCATAAAGAGTTTTACACAGCTACATAATAACATTTATTACATTGTCTATGAAAAGCTCTTTTCCTCAAAGAGTAGACATTATGGACTCTTAACAATGGAGTCTATGGGTTTTTTTTTTCATTGGAAAGTCAGATACACAGAAAGGAGGAGAGATCTTCCATCTGCTGACTCACTCCCCAAGTGACCCAAACAGCTGGAGCTGAACCAATTTGAAGCCAGGAGCCAAAAGCCTCTTCTGAGTCTCCCATGCAGATGCAGGGTCTCAAGGCTTTAGGCCATCCTTGACTGCTTTTCCAGACCATAGCAGGAAGCTGGATGGGAAGTATGGCAGCCAGGATATGAACCAACTCCCATGTGGGATCCCGGTGTGCACAAAGCAAGGACTTTAGCTACTAGGCTACTGAGCCAGGCCCGAGACTGTGTGTTGTTTTAATAGGACATCTGATGCTTAACATGTAATGTACAATAAGTATATGTATGATAGAATTTTCATCAGTTAACATTGCTTTTAGTTTCATATTTTAAAAAATTAGTCACTTCTCTTCAGTCCCTTGTAGGGAGTTTTACAATTAAACAAGTTATTAGGATATAAAAATGCTGTATCTTAGCAGCATGCTATAATTTTTGTTGAGAACACCTGTATAAAAATATCCTTCAGATAACTTTTTCTATATTGTTTTTGAACTTTTTTATATTTTTAACTGACATAATTTTGTATATTTATGGAGTGCCTTCTGATTGTTAGAAATATACCCTGTGCATAGGTACACATCAGGGTAAACATATTTCTCAAATATTTATCATATTTATAGTGAAAGCATACAGAGTCCTTTCTTGCAGTTTTTCTTTTTTAAATTAGAACAGATTTCAAAGACAGAATTCTAAGAACATGATGAAATATGTATCATATTATCTGTAGTCAGTATTCTATGGAAGGGATCCTCAGAACTACTTATTCCTGACTGTAATTTGGTGCCTGTGTTAACTTTTAAATTCAGTTTTCCATTAGAACCATGGCTGTAGCAGAATCTAGTACCTACTGTATAACTTTGGTATTTGGGTCTGCAATGAGAATGCCCTTCCCACCTACAATATGTGGAAGGAGAGCTGAGGGTAACATCCAGACAACAATGAAATTTTTAAAAACACTCTGACTTATTTTTTATTTTTTTTCCCCAGAGAACTGTGGCATTTTTCCCCTCTGAAGTGGAAGAAGGCCTTTTAAAGTTTAGAATTAAATGTTATTCTGGAAAATATAATTCAATGAAGAATGTTTGTTTTTAGAAATATTTTATATCATCATGCACAAAACTAGTATTTGATAATTTTACAGTTGAATTGTTAGCGATGTTTAATAGTAACTGACAATGGAGATTTCTTTGGGTCTTAACATTAATGCATTTATGCTTTGCTTAAGTATTTTATAGAATTCATATTGTCTTTAAGCTGTAATGTCCCGTCATTTTGATAGGATAACTATATAAAGACTTAAATAGAGCAATAAATATATGACTTGTAGCGAGTTTGGATAAATACTTTGTGATTGAATATGCATGAAATTGAAAACTTAGGACTTAGATGAAGGTGTTGTAATAATAACAAATAATATGAAATGATGAGCTAACTTTGTGTTTTGGTTTATTAGATGTGAAGACATGGTAGATGTGCGACGGTTAAAGATGCTTCAGATGGTTCAGCTGTTTAAGTGTGAAGAAGATGCTGCCCAGGTAAGGACCTCTTTTCTGGGAGATTAATTCCATCTAATTGTAAAGAAGAATGTTTCTCATGATGCTAAGAAGGTACACAACTAATTCAGATTCTAGATCAAACTGTTGTAAAAGTAGGTTTGGGATTGTTACATAGGTTGCAGACCTCTTAGTGAACTAAAGATTGAACTGGAGTTTGTGACTTTTATTTATTATTGATGAGTTGTCTGTTGCATTCAGGATAAAGGCTAGTGAAGCACAGTATGTTTTTAATTCATGACAAGTATCTTCAATGCCAGATAAAAATTTTGGTATCTTTGTGTCTTTAGCACCTGACATCATTTCAGTTTGTTGCCAAGGAAATGTATGTAGTAACAGAAATCTTTAATGAGACCCCCAAAACAATTATATTGCAGAAAGACATGATCTTCTATAATGTGATATTTATTTGGAAAAAAAAATGTTTCTCTTTAGTAGATTTTGCCTTTAGATTTTAAGTTGGTAAAGAGTAGAAGAGGTCATTAATTCTTATATCTTGGCATTAAATAGAGTAAGTTTTAAGAATTAAGATTATAATGAACAGATTAACTGACTATGAAAACATTTGTATGCATGTGGTGTTTCCATGTGAGAAATAATGAGCAGTGAGTTAAGTTTCAGTGTGCTCTGTTTTGATTTAGGCGGTTGAATGGCTCAGTGAACTGCTGGATGCTCTGCTGAAGACCCACATCAGATTGGGTGATGATGCTCAGGAAACAAAAGTTTTACTGGAAAAGCATAGAAAATTTGTTGATGTTGCACAGGTGCAGAACTGATTCTTTTTTACAAGTTCAGTGTTTGAATAGCTGTCTGCATTAGTATAATGTAACAATGTATGAGAAAGTCATGTTTATTATTCTATAAATAACAGAACTAAGAATAACAGCGCATGCATCCACACTGCCTGCATAAACTTGAGAGCGTTTTTGTTTTCTCACACACTAGATTCTGAATGCCCCTCTGATTTATGTTTCGTATTATGACTTTTGGAAGCAATCTGGTTGCTCATTTACAGAAGTTAATTTGAAATGTATGTTCATGTCAGTAAATTAGAAACCTCGTTTTCTGCATCTCTCTAGTTTTAGCAAATTAGTAGAGTTGTGATGAAAAATCTCTGAATTTATTTTCCTTAATAATTGAATCACACTGTTAACAGTTTTAGCTTCCTGTATGGTATATGAAGTACCCACTTTTACCCACTTGCTTTGATTAGTTATTGAGCAGACGTGTTCTTTGGCGATTGGAATTTAGCAGGCTGAAATGGTGCAAGCAGAGTACAAGGAAGAAGCCTAACAGGGAAAAACGTACTGTAAAGTGGAAGTGTTGCTTTCCCAGCATTGCTTATGCATGCAGATCATTGGCAGTAAGAAGTGTCCCTGGATTCACATCATTTAATTGCAGCCCCAGTCCTTTAACACATCCTTCCCATCCTGCTTTTACAGGGTTCTTACTCTTTCATGTTTGCCGCTTCTTTTTTAGAGCACTTACGACTATGGTAGACAGTTGTTGCAGGCCACCGTGGTGCTGTGCCAGTCTTTGCGCTGCACTTCTCGGTCCTCCGGGGACACCCTTCCTCGCCTGAACCGAGTATGGAAGCAGTTCACCATCGCATCTGAGGAGAGAGTGCATAGGTTGGAAATGGCTATTGCATTTCACTCAAATGCTGAAAAGGTTGGCTCTTTACAAAAATGTAGTTATAGTGATATTTATTGTATGTTTAAAATGTGGAAATTTAAGCAATGTAATTTTCAGCCAATCTATTTTAAAAAATTTTGTTGGTCACACTGTTTAAGTTTGTTTAATATGTTGTCTTAAAGTGTTCAAATGTTTTAATTGGTTGAAAAAATTGCAAACCTTTTCTTTATGCTCTTTGAGGTTTCCATGACTTTCTTTATTTCATTATGTCAAGGTAGGAAGCCATACTTTGTCAACTACTACTAAACGTCAGAAAATGTTAAGAAGCCCTTTGTGATTGTATCCTTAAATGGAAACTAGAACTGAAAGAATGAGAGTAAGAATAAGAACAAAATCACTGAAAGGTGTCCATAGCTAACTCTTTTTTACTTAATCAGCAAACCGTACAGATAAGTGTTTTTTTTTTTATGAGTCTAATAATGACACAACAAAATACACAGGGTAGCTTAGATTATTTACCACCATATAGATGCAATGTTTTATTATGACATATACCATTAATACAGCTGTAAGTATTTTGCTTGGTGAGGTTTTAGTGTCTATTCAGCACACTGTTCAAACAATACTGCTTGCCAGCACCTCAGAAGCTCCCTCAACCCCTGTGGTCACTGGACCACCTTCGTCACCTGCCAAAGTGTGATCATTGATCTGACTTCTAAAACCCCTGGGCACATTTTTAGTTACCACTTTTAAAGTCATCTGCAAAGACACTTTAACATCTAGAATTCTTAAGAGGTTTTTTTTTTTTTTAAAGATTTATTTTTATTATTTTTTCATTGGAAAGATGGATATACAGAGAGGAGAGATAGAGAGGAAGATCTTCTGTCCGATGATTCACTCCCCAAGTGAGCGCAACGGGCCGATACTATGCCGGTCCAAAGCCAGGAGCTTCTTCCGGGTCTCCCACGCGGGTGCAGGCTCCCAAAGCTTTGGGCCATCCTCGACTGCTTTCCCAGGCCACAGGCAGGGAGCTGGAAGGGAAGCGGGGCTGCCGTGATAGAACCGGCGCCCATATGGGAACCCGGGCGTGCAAGGCGAGGACCTTTAACCACTTGCGCCACCGCGCTGGGCCCCTTAAGAGGTTTTGTAAGAATAAATACTGTTGTGAGTTTTTAAATAAAAAAAATCATAATTCTAGGGCCAGTGGTGATGGCTCAACAGGCAGATTTTTCACCTGTCAGCACTAGCATCCCATTTGGCCACTGATTCTAGTGCCACCTGCTCCACTTCCATTCCAGCTTCCTGCTTATGGCCTGGGAAAGCAAGAGAAGACGATTCAAGTTCTTAGGCACCTGCACCCACATAGGAAACTTGGGAGCTCATGGCTCCTTACTTCAGATTGGCTCAGTCTTGGCCATTGCAGCCATTTGGGAGTGAACCAGTGAATGGAGGATCATCTCTTTCTGTAAACCTGTCTTTTAAGTAAATACTAAGTCTTTAAAAGAAGAAAATTAATATTTTATTTTTTCTGCTACTAGGCCATTAATTGCTCATAATAGACTTAAGGTTATTCTATTTTGCAAACCTATATAATGACCTTTGTTGGCCCGATATTTTCTCTTGATTGATCTGTTTTATTATCAACAAACATAAATTTAACCACAACTGTGAGTAAATTGTGGTTTAACAATTGGGAAATGTGTAAGTTCAATGTTAAATTAAGAAATAGAAATACCTTTCTGTGAGCAGCAGTGAAATAAGCACTGTTGGATCAAATAAAGCATAGTGCAAAATAGTTACAAGGTAAGCATTTCTCTTTCTAATCCCTCCATTATAAATATGCAATTTGTTGAAGCTAAATTTAAATAATTAGAATTAAGAAAAAAAGTAGTATTTTGTTAAGAACTGCAGGACATTTGAATTATAACCTAATCAGTTTCTGTCAGTTAAGTCAACAGCAGATCCTTTGTTTGAGTTATCTGCGTCTTTCTGTGAGTTATTTGCTTATATACTAAACATGCATTGTTTGTAGTGTAGCTTTTCTTTCGTTTTTGAAGTCTATAAGGTCTGTAGGATCATGCCTACACCTCATTCACATTACAGCTCACTAATTAAACAAACAAAAAGTTGTTCAATAAATAGCTGCTTAATGAATCAGAGAATACCTTTAAACACTGATTATATGTTTTGAAATAGTAGTCTAGGATTTTTTTTTCTTGGAAATCACTGTAGACTTTTTTGTACTCTAATTTTGTCTTATCAGTAGCAATTCATTTTGTTGTTATTTTAGAGGTTATGAAAGACTTTTGGGGGGGAAATTTTAAGATTATTTATTTATAAGGCAGAGAGAGAGATGAGAATATTTGCTCTCTGCTGTTTGACTTCCCAAATGGTCACAACAGTCAGATCTTGGTCAGGCCAAAAGCAGGTGCCAGGAGCTCCATCCTGGTTTTTCTCATGGATGGCAGATGCCCAAGTACATTTCTATCTTCCTCAGCCTTCTCAAGCTCATTGACATGAAGCTGAATCGGAAGCAGGGCATCTATGACTGCAACCCACACTCTAGTATGGCAGCTTAACCCCACTGTGTCATAATGCTGCCTCTGTATTTATTTTCTTATCTGTAGGGCAGAACCTCCGTTCTCTGATGTACTTCCTAAATGGCCCGTAACAGCCAGAATGGGGCAGGCCAAACCCAGTGGCCTAGAACCCAGTCTAGGTCTCCAATATGCGTAGCAGAGGTCCAAATATTTGAATCATCATCTCTTGTTTCCCAGGAGCACAGTGGCATGATTCTAGCTCAGAAGCAGAGAAGGCAAGATTTGAAACAGGAGCACTAATGTGAATGCAAGCATATGTGTTTTAACCACTGTTCCTGTTAACCCTGTCTGAATTTCTTGAATCAGATTTACCAATAATAAAGCAGTCTTTCGCAAGGTACATGCGAAAATGCTAGAAATATAGTAATATTTCAATCTAATAAATATGTATGAGCTTGATTTCCTTTTTCTGTGTCTCGATTGATGTTGCCTTTTCTATTTATTGCAGATTTTGCAAGACTGTCCAGAAGAGCCTGAAGCTATTAATGATGAGGAGCAATTTGATGAAATTGAAGCAGTTGGGAAATCACTTTTGGATAGATTAACTGTTCCTGTGGTTTATCCTGATGGGTATAGTGCTTTTTCTAATATTTTTAACCTTTTGTTGGTGAATTCTTAAAGTGAAATCACTATGAGAGGAAAATCTGTTGTTTAAGATGCCAAGTAAATCAGCTGTGGTCCACATCTTCAGTTCCTATAATAAATTGGTTTCAAATGAAAAGAAATTCAAACTCAGCTCTTAGCAGCAATAACATTGATAGTTGCTGACATCACATGTTCACTACTTAACAGCAGATTGTAGAAGTATTTCACTGCAGATTCATTCTCTTTTCACTGTGCAATGTGGTGGCCTAATTTTACCATGTGTCAAGTGATGGAATCCTGATTCACAAGTTTCTTTTCATTTCAAATAGTTGATGATGAAAACAAGAAATAATCAATCACATAATGGGCCAGTGAAGGATCAGAGCCTCATCCTCAGAGCCAGACTTTCCTGGAAAATAATGTCAGGGCAACCCAGAGGGTATTTGATTCCAACAACAGATAAACCATAGACTAAAATAAAGCTGTATCTGGTTGGCAGTGTATGTTGGATGACTGTAATTTTGGAGTCAGATGTCCCCACACTAGCATTTACTAGCAGTGATACCTCAGGCAAAGGCACGTTATCTCTGTGGCAGAATTTGCACATCTAAAATCAGTGCTGTGATAGTCGTAGTCCTACAGGGAACACAGACCTAGGAGCTGCCTAAACTAAGTACATAGAACAAACCTGACACTTGACAGGTATAAAAACTACTGTGTAATAAACATCCAGTGATTATTTTTGTTGATATGAAAAGGATGACATAGCATTTCCCTAGCTGTATATTTTTCATAGCCTGTGCTTAGGTAATCTTTAGTCATGTATAAACCTAAACAGAGTCATATTGTAAATCATATTTTGTTTTGACAATGAAACAATAAAATTCAGCCAGCAGTAGTATCGCAGTAATGGTCCTGACTTTTCATTCTGTTCTGGTAAACTCACCTGCCAGCCTTTCAGGGCCTGTTGTAATAGCTGGGCTCCCGTTCTGCTCAGGGCAACCGTGGAGTGTCCTGCCTGGGTGTCTTTACTTGGAGCTTCTCTCCTGCATTTCACTGGCAGCCCCTGTGTTGTTTCCTGATGCTTTAGCATTGAAGGATAAGCTAGTTCTGGGCATTCAAACTGTACATTCATCAACCTTTATATACATATTAAAATGTCTATACATCTATTTTTGTGTTTTGTGCCAAATTAAATATTTCTCAAAGGTGTATGATGTTTTCTGTGATTATTTGTGTTGAGGTAGCATATTTGCACTCTATGAAGTTTGATACATTTTAGTTTGTATTTTTTATACATTCTCATGGTAAAAGTAGAAGAAATTGGTGGTCTGGATTTTCAGTTTGATGATACAGATTCAAATTTTAATTTACCATTTAGCTTCCTAGGCCTTAAATTTCTGGTCTTAAGAAATATGAAGTAAACGAAGAACTGTTACTTTTAATATGTTTTATGACTCTGCACACAGTATTTAGCAAATGGGATAAGATTAAGTGACTTAATTTCTGTCTTAGAGTATCTAAGCATCAAAAATATTTAACTTGCCAGCTGCACTAGACTGTTGGCACTTAAGAAGATATAAATTGTGTGTTTGTGTGCACTGTAGACTCAGAACTGAAAAGTAAAATAGCTCCAGTGTTGTACTTATTTGACTTATTGAGTTAAATAAACAAAAAATGACATTTATACTGCTAATGTGGTTTTCTCAAGTCTTAACATTTAATGCCATTAAAATATTTTGACTGAATTACTTCTCAAAAACAGCTATGCAGATGAACTGATATATGCATGTAGACTGTAATACAAGAGTACTTTGGTGGTTTTGCTTGCTTTTGCATTCACTGTTATGAAATGGGTTTGTATTAATTTTGGGTTTTTCTGTTTAACTTTTAGAACTGAACAATATTTTGGGAGTCCAAGTGACCTGGCTTCTACTGCAGAGCACATCAGAGACAGGATGAAGTTAGTCAGTCTCAAAAGGCAGCAGCTGAGACCTCCTGAGATGGTGACCGCAGAGAGCTAATGGCCACCAGCTCACTGCAGAGCTGCCGTTCACACTCCGCATGGCGTCCGCATACCACAGCATTAGCCACGCATTTCACAGCAGGATAAGCCTCATTTCTTCCCATGACACATTTCTTTCTACATGTTAACACCATGCAGCTGCCAAGGCATAATTACCTAACATGCTTTGAGAACTTAGACTCCATGTATCTTAAAAGAAGGAACTACAAATGTTGCACTGAAAATTAGCTTTAAAGCTTTATCCGACCTGTCAGTTTATAGGTGAACAACTGATAGTAAGCTTTGAATGGTGCTAATATAAGTTTAAAAATTCTATTAAAAAAAAAAAAAGAAATGGTTGCCCTCCCTCTCCAGGTGGTTGTAGTAAATTTAGATAGTAGTTAAACTGTTACTACTAGCCAGTCCAGTGGTGTCCTCAAAATCTTACTTTGTAATTCCTCAAATTGATTATTTTTATTGTGTCAATATGGAGACAACCCATCATATCTTTGATATATCATATTCATTAAAGGACATTTCTTATTTGTATTGATAATGTGTTAAAAGTTGTTTGTGTTTAATAAAAGGCTTCTTTAAACATCTTATTTAATTTGATAGTTATATCCTACTTCCAAATGTGAGTGCCTTATTTAAAGGGGCATTCTTAGGATTGTGAGGATGGTTTAATATTTGTTTTTATTATCATGGTGGTTGCATGTATTCTAGCCAGAAAATTTATATGTAAGCACGTGTATATAATAAGCATGTTTCATCATGAGAAATGATTGTGAAGAACAATTTAGAACTTTTAGAACTTATTGGAATCCTGATTTTTCTCTCTTAAACTTGAAGAAATATTTTTCAAATTATGAGCTGCCTCCTTTGTCTTTGGGGAGAAGGTCTGAGAAAGAAGTTGTTCATGACTTTTCAGTGTCAGCCTTCATATCGGAGTGAGCATTCCAGAATTAGAAAGCAACTTTCCTTGATATCTAAAAGCAAAATTCTGAATTAAACGGTAGGAAAACGGTACACTTTTGTAGAAATAACTAGTGCTTTATGTTTATATTATGTTTAAAAGGTAAAATGCATTTAATTTATGTTATTTTTGATTGCAGAAAATTTTTTTAAAGATTAAAAATAGCCTTTAGGCTTATGATCAATACAGAATTATGCAAAGAATCACATACTGGCTCCTTTTTGCAGTCTGTCAATGGGCTCATGTGTCCTCCAGAGCAAAAACCACCTCCCTGTAACTGCTGGTTCCACACCAGCCTGCTTCACTGCCAGACTTCGTGGAGAAATCCCTCCCAGCCCACTGCCCTGTAACCTCATCACTCGCTGCTCAGCGTCCTGCAGTCTGGCTTGGCACAGCATGTAATAACAGTGTTCTTTTCGAAGTCAACAGTGAGCTCCCTGCTACCACAATGGATGTTTATCACTCAGCCTGCACCTCCTATCTGTCTCTCCCTCTTGGTACCATGTGTACAGTTATGCAGTTTTCCCCAGAAACTGTCACTTCCTTGGAATATGCTGATTTCTGCCATAACTTGGACTACTGTCACAGTTCTTGTGAATGTGTCACAATTCTCGTAAATGTACCTGCTGATCATGTCTGCTCCTGCCGTGTGTCCTCAGAACGCTGTGGCCTTTTTGTAGGCACCTCATGCACAAGGTTTCTATTCTGTCCCAGAGTCCTGCACTATGCAGCGTGGTCTAGAATTCTAGAGCTGTGCTTTAACTGCCTACTTGATGCTTCAGCCTAAGTGAAGGCTTTCTCCGCTTTCCTGTCCTGGAGCTGTTTCTGGTTCATGGGGCAGCCATTTTTTCCCCCTGGTGAAACAGGCAGGATTTCAGCTGTTTCCTATTGTCTTGTGCTGCCACTGCTTCTGAGAGCATCCAGGAAGTTCTCTCTGTACTTGATAAATCCTCTTTTAGGGCTTTACTCCTTTGAGTAGGAACTTCTATGTTTCTTCATTTCGGTCTTCATGATGGTGCTAACCACATTGTACACATGTTTATGTCTACCTGCTACACTGTAAGCCTCTTCAGGGAAGGAATCTGGTTCTTCTGTTCCTAGTCTACTTATGCCCAGTAGTTGTTCATTCCTCTTACTACTACTAACACATGTATAGCTATGTCTGACATGTTTTAAGCATTTGTTTCCTAAGGTTAAGACTGACTTGTGAGTAAAAGTGCTTACAGGAAAGTCATGTAGTACTTTAGATACTTCAGTACTGTAGGTAGTTATCATACTCGGTATCTATTTTACTTACCTTCTGAGTAGTTCAGCTTTTTATGAGGACTGCTGAAAGGGGAACAATTTGATAGTATTTATATCATCAACTCATAGATCCGTAATAATTAAGTGAATTTTTGGTATAATGTAAACTGTTGGACTTTTGGAAAGTAAAATAAGACAGATATTGAAATTTGAATATTTCCCTAGAAATATTTGTTGTTCTTCAGTAAGTTCTACTGCTTTTTTCTCTCTGGGTGTCTATACCTGCACATGCATTTAAGAATGAGAACTCCACAATGCCCCCAGGTAACCTTTGTTTATAGGGTCATAGTTCACTTAGAGTGCATGGAAGTGATTGCAGTCTGTTGGAAACCACAAAGACGCTTGTTTGTCATAAATTATCATTGGCCTGCAAGTGTAAGAAAGAACTGCTCGTTCTTGGGTGGTGTGTCAGAACCTTTTGTATTAATTTAGACCATCTCAGGGAATTATTGAAGTGTTAGTTGGGCTAGTGTTGTTTTGAGGGTTTTTTTGAATTTATTTTTTCTTTTGCCTTTTATGATGTATTTGCTTCTGTGTGAGTTCAATATATCATGGCAGTTTTGGCATCTAACTTCTTATATGTGTAACCCAGCATATTTGTGATGCAAAGAAGACAACTTAATTCGGGATCAAATTGGCTTTGTCCCCCATCTGTATTGTCTGTGACCTCCGTTTGCTAGAGTGACTCATGGTAATGTTGATGCAACTTCTCAGCCCGCCAGCAGAGTGAGAGCAGCCCTAGGCTTTCTTGCTAGGTGAAAGTTAGGATTCAAAGTGGCTGTTGTCTTTGTTGTTTCATCCTTCATCAGTTGTGGTACAAAGTGCTATTTAGTTTATTATTATTTCTGCCATATTCCTTAATCTGACAAGTTATTATTCTGATAATGCTGAGGAAATCATACTCTTATATCTAAATACACTCTAACAATAATAGTGAGTAAGCGGAATCTCACTGTGCAATACACATTTGAAGAGGGAATTTGGAGTTCTCTGCGAGGCTCTGTGTTACCTGCCAGCGTGTCTTTCTGTTCTCACATCCTACACAAAGTATTTAAGCCTGACTAGTAAGAAATATGCCTATGGAGAGTAAAACATACTGTGATGACTGAAGTCCTCAGTATCTTGAGCCTGTACTGAATGGCACAGGCAAGAACACCAGCAAAGATGTCATTTTTAATTACAAGATGTGTATGGTTCATGTGTCTGCTTAAAATCATGTAAAGTTCTCTAGGTTCAGAGATGGACTGGAACATAATGAGCTGTTAACCTAATTAGTAAACTTAAGAACTTTTGCTCCAAGAAACAAGAAACCCAAAGCTTCAGTTAGAAGTAGGAAGTACTCTGCTGGTTGGTAGATAAAGCAAGAAATATCTTGAGGAGGCAAAATGAAACTAAACATTGGACGCTGTTTAGCTTCAATGTGTGGCACAGAAAAGTCTAGCTGTAATAGGAAGCATAAATACTGGCATGATTTACAAAGGAATGATCATAGTAAAAGCTAAAATAAGAACTGCAGTGAACATGATGGAAGGAGTTTGAATAGTGGGCCTCAAAATCTGGCTTTGCAGTTTACTGTGATCTTGAGGGTGGGAGAAAATTTTCCTGGGAATACAAAAAGAAAATCAACAGATAATTTCAAGGACAAAATATAATCTTATAAGAAGTGTTAAAATGTTCTGCAGAATGAACCTTTTCAGAATAGAAAACAGTATTCCTTTCCTTTTACTTGGTTCAGATGATAAGCGTGGTTTGGCAATTGGTACAGCACGTAGTTTATCCCCCTGGTTTCTGTCTCACCTTCCCAACTCCAATGAAGTAATGTGTAAGGAAAATGTACCTTCAGAATAGCAGAACTAAAACACAAAGTGTAGGGGATAGCAGAACTTGTCAGTTATTAACAAGGCTTTTGTACACTGATTAAGTGTGCTGTTTCATGGGAAGAGGACAAACCCTAGTCTGAGATTTATAGAACATAATTAACAAGCACAAGCAATAGCAAACCATGATTGTGACTGAGCCCCAACCTAACAGCACACATCTGTGGGGATATTTATAGAGCAACCCAGTGATGGGGTTTAAAGGAAGGGACAGTGCTTGGGGTCATCACTGGTTATGGTTGAGTAGAATAATCCTGGCAGATTTGGCGCTGTTGATCAACAGAAAAAGACAAGTTTTGTCATACAGACCTAAGAACTAAGGGTGCTCCGGGCAATTTTATAAATTCAGGGGAGGCCTCATGACTGAATCAGGTTCCAGGGTGTGAAGCTGCTACTCAACATCATGGCAATGTTTTAAATTTAAAAGCTTAGAAATCAATGCTAGTCCTTGTGTCTTAAGGAAAAGCAGAACTGTACAAGAACATGAAGAACTCAGAAATCAAGAGGACACTGGAACTATGACTAAATATTTTAAGAACAGTGAGTAAATTATTTTTCAAGAATCAAGATTAGTTTTTGAGAACTTTATAAGGCAGCCTGTAATTGCTGTATGTAATGGTAAAGGCATGCTTAGCATACAGCTCAAGATAATTACCAACAGTCAGCTATGTGAGAGTAGTATTGCAAGGGATGTACATCAGGGAAAACTATCCAAGAAAAGGATATGGAATTCTAAAACCAGATCCTAGTGCATCTCAAAGAGGCACCTTAAAAGTATTTGCAAGTTGAGTGTTGTATTTTCAAGGAGTCCAGCTGTTTCTTCTTGGAGGGAGGTGAGATGGTGAAGGAGATACCATGCTATGCAGAACAGCGGGGCTCATGCTGTGTATGCGATTAAGCTTCACCTTAGTCTCAAACTATTTCTGTGCTTTGTTTTTCTGTTAAAAGGTTTCTTCCTCTTAGCTTTTGTTAGTTGAAAACAGATTTGCTCAGAATATATCAATATTTGTTTTTGAAAAGTGAGAGCATTGTACAACTTGGGCAGTTTTGACCCAGAGCAGATCAGAAAACTGTCCCCTGCCTCACTCAGAATTACCCTTTTACGAGATCATAAGGGAAATGTAACCCTTAAGTTGACAGCATAAGGGTTTTGTGATTTTTTTCTGTCATAAGATCAGTATTGAAGTTACCAGCAGCATTATTTGATAAATGTGCTATGGTTTCCCCTCCCCCAACACACATTTTATCGAAAGAATTTTCAAACATAGGAGTGGTTCTATAGTGTACTCACTACCTAAATGCTAGTTAGCATTAATTAGGTTTTCTGTGTCATCTGTGAGTTCAGATTCTTTCCATGCGTTTTAAATCACATATACTTTGTGCTAAATACTTCCATTTACACATTCAATATTTGCTTAAGTTTTTCTGTTGGTGTAAAGGCAGCATGCAATCAAATGCGGATCTTTCACATGGATTTGCTCAGTATTAGCCAATGGGTGCAATGCTGTTGAATTGGGAAACTCACCACCCTAGAATGCATCCATGTGGCCTTTTTAGTTAATCCGCATTCCCCTACACAACCCTTCAAGGCAGCTACCATTCCTTTTTTTCCCATGAGATTTTCTGTTGCAGAACCTTGCATAAATAGAATCACATTGGATGCACTCTGTTCTACAAGGATTCCTCACCATCATAGAGTTTGGAGAGATTTATCCATGTTGTTGGGTGTATTAGTAGTATATTTCTTTTTATTGTTGAGTAGTAGTGCATTGTATACTGCAGTTTGTGTATCTAGTTTTTCTGTTACTGAATACCTGGGATATTTCCAGGATTGGAAATTATAAATAAGCTGCTATGATCATTCTTATATATGTTTATGTGAATATAGGTTTTTATTTCTCTTGGGTAAATACCTATGATTAGAATTGCTGGGTCATAGGGTAGTTTAAAAAAAAAAACTTTTTCCAGTGCAGTTCTGTGCCCTGGGTTTTATATTTTGGATGTGTAGAAAGGTGTAAACTATTTTTATGATGCATATTGAAATACTAGAATTTGGGGTAGCAATGGCATTGTGCATGGTTGGGGATGACTGTTGGTGTTACTTGAAGGAAGCAAAGACCTGTTTGCTCAAAACAGAATCTCAAGGAGTCTATGCCTGAAATACTAACAGTAGTTCGCTCGTTAAAAGCCTAAAAAGCCCAGGCTTGGTGATCTGTTCGCTAGAAGCAGCAGCAGTGCTCTGTGCGTTACCAGCGTCTGCCACCCATTTTCAGAAGGTCAAGACTCTCATTTGTTGAACAGAAGAGACTGTCTTGTGGTGGGGGTGGAGAGGATAGCAACAAAAAGCCCATACTACTAATCAGTCCCAGATATAGCAATGTGAGAGCCACCGTATGGGAAGTCAGTCCCCAGTGGTGGTTAAGAAAGTGGAAAATGGGGTGGGAAGAGTTCTACCTCACAGTTTTGCATAGGGAGTAGCTATGCTTTTACAGGACATGTTAGCCTTTAAAAATAATATTTTCACTGTTACATATTAATTCAGTACCACCTAGCTGTGATTGTTTTATGCTCTGGAAATTCTCTTACTCACTGTTTTATCCTCTCTATTCTATTCCATCGAACATTCACCTGTGTTAACCTGTAAAAGTATAATCTTCTGTATGTTTCTTATGCTCATATTCAACGATGTTTATATTATGCTTCATCTAATCTTTCCTATTTGATTTTTAAGGGCTGGGGAATCTGACTTCTACTGTAAATCTTTACGATGTCCCACAACTTGTAAATACGCAATAAAAATGTTAAAAACTAATCACAGCAGGTTTTGCTATGTTTTTCTTTGATATACTGTCACTTTGGACAATGTGATTTCTGTTAATAAAGAATGTTCATAAAATCCACAGAGCATTAAGTCATAGTGGTGTCTACATAATCCAATGGATTCAGCATCCTTGAGTCTATTCATAATAGCTTTAAAAAATACTTTTTCACCACACTATTTTCTAGAATCTTTGGCTAAAGCAAAAGTATTGCTTCTTTATTCTGAAATGTTCTGAGTCTGAGAGCACAGACGCTTTTCCTTCCTTCTCATTTAGCCCTGAGTAAACATGCTCACATTTGGTCACTGAAAATCAGTGCTTCCTGTAGTTCAACAATATCAGAAATGTGCATTCTCACTGAGGTATTTGAAATACATATTCCCTTGTTTCTGCCAGAAAGTCAATTTTTAAAATACACCATGTGTATTTGGACATGGAGAAAGACAAGGTTAAAGTTGTTTGCAGTAACAATGGTGTTAGGCTATCTGTATACAGTATCTGCTGTGGGATGGCTACCAGAGTTCAGAAATTGTCAAGTGCTTCACCTTTTCCGATGAAGTCAGCCACATTTTAGTCATGATTAAGTGTGTAATCAAAAACGATGTGAAAGAATGCACATTAACAGATATTTTCGTTTTACATGTGGTAGTGTCCACCTCATATCTAGATATCCCATTAGGCACATGTGTCCTAAATAGAGGGGCTGTCAGCGCTACTATTTGTCTACATACACAAGCAGCTGCAGCTGTGGGTGGCTTCTACATGACAGAAGCAGGCTTTATTCTTTTTAACTTTTTTTTTTTTATTGGAAAGGCAGATTTCAGAGAGGAGAGACAGACAAATCTTCCATCTGCTGGTTCACTTCCCAAGTGGTTGCAACAGTGGCGCTGAGCTGATCCAAAGCCAGGTGACTTGTATTGTTTTAGTATACTCCTTTGTAATCCTAGCAGTTTTGCTGGTTTTTGGAAGGATTTTTAATGTATAATCAGGATTATTAACATGTCTGTAGCAGGTGTTTTTCCTAGTTTGTCAAATTTGGTGATGTTAATATGCTCATTTTTATGGTGAAATGTCAGCTGGCATTTTGAGTTTCTGCAATGCCTTAATACTGAGAAAATTATTTCCCTGAAGCTGAATTTTTGTTGCTCTTCTGCAGTCTTGTTGTCTCCTTTTTTATATCAATTTTTTGTGAGGTGATGATGAGATAGAATTTTTCCAAGTATCAAATGTTCCCAATTGCCTACTGAATCTGGTTCCTGTGGCATCCCGGAAGACAGAATGAATTCCTAAGTCTCATGGCCCACTTCTCAGCTGGCTATTTTCTGTTGATCAGGATATTTATTCTTCTACCAGTACCACATTGTAGCATTGCACAGCACAGAGATACGATGAGACTGTGTAGAATGCAGAAGAAAAAGTACCACAGGAAAAAGAGCAAATGGCAGGGGAATGACACCAAAATAGGAGAAGGGAAAAATGAATAAACAGTTCAGGGCTTGTGAAAAGGGACTATTAAGGCTTATGGGACTATACTTACAGAGTGTCCTTTTAAAATGTGAAGTGTATTTACAGTGGTGTGATTGCATGTGAAGTACAAAACACATACTTCATGAGATCCACCCTGTGAGATTGACAAAACACAAACCCAGAATGACATATGAACGTTAAAGACAGAAGCCCAGGTTCCCATAGTAGCAAACCAGTGGGCTGATGATCAAAACAATTCACACGTGTGGACTTGAAAAAGCCATTCCTGCAACTGGTGATGCAGGTTTAGTTTCCCTCCTTGGTAAATATGTTTATAGCTGTTGTACATTTATTCAGAATTAGAGTTACTTTAGGCAGTGTGGCACAGGAAACATGGGAGTTGGGAGATGCTATGCAGCCAGTGTTAAGAATTTTGGTTTGGGCATCAGGTTGATTGATTCACATTGCTCTTGTGGTTTAGGGGTAGATTATTTAATGTATCGAGGTTGCTATCGTCCTAAAATGCAATTGGCAATGGAAATGTTTCTCTGGTAATTAAATGACCTAACTTGTAAAATCACCAGCAGTCGCTGGCAAGTGTCAAGGCCCTATAGGCCCAGTTTTCTGTAGGCTCTTAGGCAGTAGGTTCTCTGAGGACAAGAACCCCACATTACCATCTTCCCTGATGCATAAATTAGTGCCTCACACATGAGAAGTGTGTGATAAGTATTGGTTGAAAAAGAAAATCGCATTCATATGCAATCTAAAATATCAAATGCCTGTTGTGTTTTGTTTTTAGCCCATTTGATCCTTTCGAGGGAAACAAATATGAAGCAAGGAGAAATTAGACGAGACTTCGCATTTGCTTCATTGAGGATCAGCTCTCCTAGCTAGCACAAAATCTCAGTTCTTGTGAAGAACTCCTTTAAATGCAGTATCACCAGACTGTGGCTCAGCAGCAGGTAACACATTCAGTTGTGTGAGACAGGCTCTTGGTGAGCTCTGATTATCAATCAGGGCAGGTCAGGGATGCTGAGGGCCAGGATCCATGGCAGGTGTGTGCTCTAACCAGGTGAAGACAATGGGTCGGCACTGAAGACCCACATGCAAGGAAGGCATTTCTCCAAGAACTGGTGCTAGTGTGAGATTTGCAAATGCAGTGCAGGTATAGAACAGAATTTGGTGGAAGGGCTCTAAAATAAAACACATTTTTCATTACCCTGGAGTATACATTTCAGGCCAAAGAGCTCCTTTTCAGTTTTATAATCTCTGGGTTTTGAATTCATCATTGACAATGAATCAGGACACCAACCCAAAGCAGTGATGTTGCAATCATTAGTTGATGTCTGTGAACAAAACCATTCTTGTAGGATTGGTCTCATGGATTTTGGAACATCTCTTAAGTTCTTCTGCTTCTCAAATATTTGGGGTTGATCTACTTGACCAGGTGCTGTAACCATACCTTCTCCTTAAAGGGCTTCAGGTGTGTGTTTTGTCTTCCGCAGCAAGAGCTCCCTGAGTATAGAAGCAGAGTTTATGCTCCTGTGTTGTTTTGTTAAGGTATGCTGGCATCACGTTCTGGCTCACAGAGTCCTGTGGAGGAGATGTTTTGAGGTCTGGATGGACTGAGTGGAAGGCCTGTGGGAACGTGATTTAACACAAGGAGAATAAAAGAACTCCCTATGCCACTGGAGTAAGACATTATGAAGGAAGTGACCGGCTCTTGTATGGCTTACATAATGAATTCAGGTTAGGTGTTTCAGTTCTCTTGCCTCCGTTTTCCAACTCATTTTACAGAGAAGCTAAATGTGGAGAGGCCAGTGAGGTTGGGTAGATACACAAATGTTACAAATCAGCTGGGATTTGATGAGGATGGAGGCCATAAAGGGCCCTGGATCTTAACAGCCTGTGGGTGTCAGCACAGGTGTGCTGAAGCTGCTGGCTGTGTTGGATTGTGGGAGCTCAGAGCTGCGACATGCCAGAAGCAGACTCGAGACTGCACAGCATCGGTTGGTGGACTTTGCTTTTGAAGTCTGTCTTTTGTAAGTGTGGAATTTGTGATAGGAAACCGGTTTGCTTAGGGCGATGTGAGTTGGGTGGGGTGAGGCAGCCGGCGACCTGCTAGTTTTGTTTCCATTTTTTAGTTGCAGGTTTCTGTGAGTTTTTCTCAGCTTGCTTCCTGTTTTTCAAAAAAAGCTGGTGTATCTGGGTATCTTTTTTCCTGCAGGTGTTGGTGACTTCTTTGTCCTTCCGGACCATCAAAACAACTACTGCCTTTCAGCCGGCTTCCATGACCTAGGTGAGTGATATCTGAGAAAACACAGCTTCCCCACACGATGGGGAACACCTCAGTGAACTTGGGGTGAGGTGTTCCTACTTGGCATGAGGACACACAGTTCAAAAAGGTCTACAGTTAAATTTTAAGAAATCGGTTAAGTTTTAAAAGAAAGTTTATCATTAGACTGATGCCAATAACCTGTGTAAATGATGAACCGTAACACTCTGTGTAACAGAAAAAGTTTATCATGCAGAGCATACACAAACACCTATACAACACATGCGTTATTTTCTTTGTCTCAGCAATTCTCAATAAACAAACCTTCAAATTTCAAAAGTGTTTTATATATTTTTTGCCTAAGATTCATAGATGATGCCCATGCCATCAGAGGATCTGATGATTTTGTGTCATTGAATTTCATACTGGGTTATTTTCATGTGTTTGTTGGTAAAAAGAAAAAAGAAGTACAGCTGCTTGTGAGAGTGATGGCTCAACCATAAAGTCACTTATTGCTTGGTGTCCCAAGTAGCTGGGATGAGTGCTGTCCTTCAAGTCTCTTGGGAATTAGTCTGTGATGGAAAATTCTCAGCCTCAATTGGTGTTCAGCAGCAGTAAGAAAAAAGGAAAGAAATGATGTTTTCTGGAATCACGTTAACGGAGATGTTGATCTTTCATATAAATCATTCCTGTATTCTGGAAGCTAGCCCTTAGGGCATTTCATTGTATTAAGAGGAACTGGATCAGGTGTGCATTCTGCTTGTGTTACGGTCCGAAGACATAGCTCAGTGTAAAGCCATGTGGTTTACAGTTTTTAACATTAACTTCAACATGAAAGTGTTTCAGATATTTAAAATTTTTTTCTGACTTGAATTCTTTTTATGTAGATTTTTATGATTCAGGGAGAAGTTAGTCTAAATCCATAAATATTTACTTTGTCAGTAAATGTGGGCTGAAGTAAAAGGCAAAGTTCCAGATCATTCCCAAAAGAGAATTTACAAAAAAAAACCAAAACAAACAAACAAAAAAACCATAAAAATCGGAGAGTTGTTGGCATTATCCCACAAAGCATTTCTATCAACCATTGCTTGAAATTATAATAAATACAAACATCTTGGATTTTTTGACCACATTTAATGTTGTCTAAGTTTACTCAAGTTTTGCTGTTTTTCTAATCATTTGTAAAGAAGTTGTGTTTTCCAAGTCACTTGTAAAGGAGCTGTATGTGTGTGTGTATGTGTGTAAAATTTTTAAAGTTCCTTTGGAGAAGCTGAGGAAAATAGGTCACTAAACATGTTAAATTGTAAAAATAAATAAGTAAAATAAAAAATCTACAGAGGTCAGTATTCAGAGAAAATGTAAGTTTGCCAATAGGGCCCATATTTTGGACACATGATTGTCCTTAAGTAAAACTTAGAAACATGCCAAACAGCATAGGGTTGGCATTGGGGGCTAAATGCCATGACGCTCATCACCCCATGCTTTCACCGCCTATTCGGACCCTTCCTGCAGTTTCCTTAATTGCCAGAGGTGGATGAAAATGCTGTCATTCTTTCCCATCTTATTCAGTGAAGTCCAGAGGCTTCACCTTGCTTCAACAACAAGGGGATTATATCATAACTTTTACTGGAGAAAGGAGTTTTCAAAATATTTGTGCCAAGGTAACAGGTGTAAAACCAGCAACATCAGCAAACAAAACAGTACCCAGACACCCCCTAGAAAACCTTAGGAGAGCCAGCCAGTCCTCTCACCATCCCACGTCCTGTTCCTGTCCCCCTCTCTCTCTCCCAGGCCTCACTTAGCTCCAGTCATACCCACCTGCTGGATACTCTCTGAAAAGAGCAGTAATGCCCCTGCCTCCTGGAATGGCATTCCCTGGGCTATCTATTTGTCTTGCCCTTGTCACTCAATCCAGGTCTTTATTCAGATCTCACCTATTAGAGAGAGCTCTCCTGATGCCACTTCCCAACAGAAATTTTCTCCTTACACCATGTGACTTTTCATAGTAATCATGACATGCCAGCATATTATGCATTTATTTTTGTATGTGTATTTTCTCATTGATTGTGACTCCTCTACTGTCAAGCAAGCTCCATCAGTGAATGATTATTGCTCGGTTTGTTGCTGTGCATCCGTCATCTAGAATAATGCCTGACATTTCAAATATGTGTAATTGCAAAAATGAACCAATGAGTTTATGCATGCAAATATAAGGAGCTGACTAGAATCAGACTCTTTTAAGGGAAAATTGATGCCAATTATGTGGGAATGACTCTATTCTAAGGAACAAGTGGAGAAGTACCAGGAAGCTTACTAAATGATGCAAAGAATGAACTGGGAGAAATTTTGATTTATGTAAATGCTGAAGACTACATTCTAGAAATAACAGCTCATTGAAATGTTTCTACATCATTATAGTGAAGTAATTTACTCCTTGGTAATGCTTATTTTGTATTTCTAATATATTTCATCCTTTCAGGTTGCCCACCATGTGTGTTAATCTAACTTAATTTTCGAATTCTTTTCAAATTTTATGTCAGCTACCAGACTTAGAAAACTCCTTAACAGGGTGCTTTTCATCTTAGGCACCTGTGTGCTATCTAAGTGGTAGGCAGTAACTTGTGTGACACATACCTCTCGTTTGAGCCTCCCACTAAATCTTCAAGTGTCCGTAGTCCCATGGCTCCTGAAGCATAGAGGGATGAAGCAGTCAGGCCTCAGAGCCTGGTGGCTAACCCCTGCCCTTTGGTGCTTTCTGTGGTTTGCTTTTACTGTGGCTGCTGTCGTCCTTTATCAATTTGTTAATCCTGCTGATTTCTGCATCCCAACAGAAATAAGTTGGTAGTCTTCCCCTGATTTCTCTAACACATAACTTTTCCTTTGAGATTCAACCTACATAAACCATGACTAGCTTTTTTCTCTTTGCTTATTTATAACATTGTTTTTAGTTTATGTTTTACCACCAAAAAGTCAGCTTCTGGAGGCCAGGGACCTCTTGGTTGCCTTCTCTTCTGTCCTTCGAACACAACAGTGCTTGGGAGGCAGAAAATGCCTCAGAACCATTGGTTAATGAATAAACACTACAAATGAAAGAGTTTCATCGAAGCAATCTTTTTTCTCATATTAGCCAATATTTAAAAACACTTTTTTTTTTTTTTTTTGCTTAATACCAGGGGCCGTGGCAGTCAGTGCTGGATCTGCACTCACTGAATGCCAGGTCATCTTCCAAACACTTTATATAAAGCAAGATTTTTTCCACTTTTTAACTTTCATTGTATTTGAAAAGCAGTGAAACAGAAAAATAGATTGAGAGAGAGATTCTAGCCCAAATGCAGCAGTCAGTGCTGGGCCACACCAGAACCAGGAGCTCCCTGCAGGTCCTTCATGTTGGTGGGGATCCAAGTACTTGAGCTATTGCCTGCTGATCCCAGGTGCATTAGCAGGAGGCAAAATTGGAAGTGGAGTAGCCAGAACGAAGGTCACACTTTTATAGCATGTGGGTGTCCCAGAGAGTAACTTACCTGCTACACTGCACACCTGCCCTATAAAGCAACTCTACAATAATCCTCAACACGTTAGAACTTGATGCTGTCTATAAGAAGTTTCACATACAGTTGAGAAATAATATTAATGGAGGTGAAATAAGTGGAAAGCAATGCAAAGGTAGAATTGTAAAAAGTTGCACCACAGCCGAATTTAGAACAAAAATATTTAAAAGAAAATGTGAAAGACACAGAGATGAATCTTCGTGTTCTGTTTCTTTCCCAAAATGCTCACTAAAGGCAGGGCTGGCCTAGGCTAAAGCCACAAACTGACTCTTTACTCATGTCTCACTCATGAGTGACAGAGTGCAGTAGGAGGAAGCTGGGTCAAAGTGGAGCACCTGGGATGCCAGCATCACAAGCAGCAGTTCACCTTGCTGCGTCATAAGATGAACACACCAATAGATGTTGATGATAGATCTGTCACACCTGAACAAAAGGCATTAGTTATGCCTCTTTGTCTTCAAATGAGAGGTTCTAACTAGATGAGAGGAAGAAAGGAAGAGTATTCTTGGATGAATGACTGGGTTAGTAGGTGGATCTTTGTGGGCTTTGTGGTTTATGTGACTGGGAAGATAGGAAGGGGCCAGTCTATTCATAGGTTTGAAGTCCAGACAGAAAAAAATTGAGCCAGAGTTGGCTGGAATCAGTGAATCACTGTGTATAAATGTGTTTCAGTTTTAGTGTTGGGAAAGTATGTTTCTCCATCCTTGTACAAATTCAGTGAGATTAAGATTGTGTTCCTGCCACAAAGCAGTCCTGGAGCTATAACCACTGTTGTTACTACCATAGTGGTAATAGCAGACAGAGTTTTGTTTTGAGTTTTTAACCTGGATAAAGAGACTCTTGATGGTTTAAATCAGGTCTAATTTGACTCTGTGACGTTGAATACAATGCAACCAATAATAAATCTGATTCAAACACCTGTGATCCTGTTGGGAAGAAGGGAATGGGACCCTGGAAACCTTTAGTGAAGATGGGCATACCCACTGACCAGTTTTAAAAAATGATCATACAAAAAAGTTTCCAAAACTACTGTCTGTATTTCATTAAAAATGCTCTTTGTAATTCAACAGAGGTCAGTTATAGCTTCATGATTCCCCATGGAGGATATTTCACTAAAATGCAGTTTGTATGAAAACACCATTTCCCAGAAGGGTAAACAGAGAAGGCATAATAACCTCTGCAAGCTCTCCTATAAACTTCAAAGGTAAGAGAATGCCTCTCAGGATTCTGTTTTGTTTTATTTTGGTTTTGGGGTTTTTTTGGGGGGGGAGGGGGAGTGATGATAGGGAGATAGAGTATAAGAACTTGTAAACTCAAAAAGCTTTAGTCCTTTTAACATTAAGAAAAAAAATTCATCTCAGTGTAGGATGCCAATTTCTTTAGTACAATATATTTTATATTACCTATTTTCCAAAATGTTTCCCAAAGTTAATCATGCAACTTATAATGAAATATTATTCTTGGCAAAGAAAATCCAGTCAAGGTTTTAAATATACTTGATGCTGTGGGAGAGTGTGAGTAATGGGGCTTCTCTGCATGGAATGATGAAAAAGTTAAGGACGAGAAAAATAAATGGGAAGAGAAAGCAAGGAAAGAAAAGAAAATTATTCCGTGTGTTTTGAAGATGTTAAAGCCAATAATTTGAATTTTAAAAAATGCCAAGAAACACTTCAGTTCATGCAGGCTGATGCTTTATTCCTCATGTCCACCAAGGTAGAAAATATTCTCTTCATGCAACATACTAGACCTGCTCCATCTAATTAACAGGAAAGAGAGGTCATCGGCACACACAAAAGGGCACTACCTTAGTTGCTAAATTGCTTGTACCAAAGCCTTAAGTATTATTTATTTCCTTTGCCCCTAACCTTGGAATTGGCCATGTGTGCTCCCTGCTTCATCTCTTCCTGGGTCTGCATTGCCAGACACTCCCTGCTACCACCAATACCCCTCACACAATCACATACCAGAAGTGGTGCTTTGAACAGAGCCACTCCACTAAAGTGACCCTTCCTCTCCTGAAGGCCTTTATGCACTGGTGACACACAGCTTCTAGCATCGTGATTGCCTCTGGGTGAGAGTGCAGTTCAGTGTTTGCTGTTCTGCTTGGCAAAGTACGCAGTGACTTCAGTAGTGCTCCTTGTGGATTCTAGGACACAAGGGTTCATTCTTTTGGGGGGAGCTGACAATGAACTAAAAATAAGTTGGAATTAGTATTTTGTGAGAACCAGTTATATACTTCCTCAGGTAGAAGGACTCTGTCTTCAACATTTTGGGTGAGCTGAGTCTCTGCAAGCCCTCTGGCCTTGACGTTAATGACCCATTTATACAATTGCCTTGCCTTGCCTTGTTAGCATCCATGAGGTCCAACTTCTGGGCTGGTCCCTGGAGGCGGACCATTGGCCACAGAAAGCTTAAGTCCTGTGGTCGAGTTGTAATTGTGCGGCAGTCTGGGAGAGGAATGTCAAATTAAGCAAATAAAAACCACAAATGCCCAGTTGAGTTGGCATTTCACTAAGCACACTTTTTTGGTGTAAACAACATGCAGTATGGCTTTTGCCTCGACTCTCCTGGCCTTGCTCCAGTTGTTCCCCTCGTGTCATCAGGTGAAGAGTATAGCACTGCACTTGGGGGAAGGGCATGCTTTCCATCACCATGCTGGAACAGCAGGCAGGTGCTTTGAGTCATAGACCTGGGTGACAGCCACCCAACTGCAGCACTGCCCTCAGTGTGCTCTTGGAAACAAATAATTGCCAAATACCAAAACGCATGTGAATACACCTTCCCTTTGTGATCCAAGAATGTTATTATGAACCAAAGACAGGATGCACAGTCTTCTAAACATTGGATCTCAGCTTGAACATGTTTTGAAATTGAGCTAAAATGTGCAGAAAGCCAGTGGGTCCATTTAACTATATTCATTGCTGTGTGATTCTCATTTCTGGCTTTGTCCCAGAGCTTGCTGAAGGTTCCAGCAGCAGCTTTGGAGCTCATCTCCCTGATGTGTTTGCATTTGACCTTCGACCCAGCCCAGTGTTATTTTCAGCTGTTCTTTGACAGGGAATTCAACAGCTGCTGTTTAATACCACAGACAACTTGTGACACATACTGGATTTCGAGCAATAGGATTAATCTACTAATCTTGGGTTCTGATTGGAAGTTGGCTGTGATTTTCCTGTATAGGGACATGAAGATGGAAAGAAAAGCAAAGCCTGAGGTGCAGTGCTATTCTTTTAAAAATTAAATTGTGCAAATAAAGAGCACAAATCTATAGTCAGACAAATTTTGTGTTCTTATTGCGGATAAGAATTGTCAGGAAAAATGTTATTTTCTGATCGTTTCAATGATTAAACATGCTGCTTAATAGAGTAGAATTGTCACAAAGAAATCCTGAAATAACAGATGTATACTGATAGATGTTGGTTGAAACATTTCTGAAGTGTCCCTAAGAAAGTTGAGCGTAGGAAAATGTGAGCATTCCATGTGAACTCCATCCAGTTAAGGACAGTACCCTGTAAAAGAGCAAATTACTGGGAACTTTACAACCAAACTTCAGAACAACTGCCAGGACTTCTCTAAAAAGTACATCCTGGGAGGTTTTCTTTGCATAAGGGAAACTTGAAAAATCTTGAAAAGATTGATATCCAGGTCAATGACTTGCTGGTTTCAAAGTCCATAGTTACAGCTGTTTAGTTTCAATGGCAAAACTAATTTGAGTTGTCAGGATGTGAGATTTTTTTCCATTTGCTCTCAAACATCAGCTGATAGGCAAAGAGCTCAGAGCTGTCCTTTACATTTAAGATAATGGGAAAAATAACAGGCACTTAGTGTTACCATACTAGGGGTGTGGCGCTTCTCTCCAGCTCGGTCCTCTCTCTCCCTCTCCGTCTCTCTCTCATGATAAACTCAATGGGGTTGTCTATTTTTAACCTCCTGTTCTTTCCTTTTGGCAGAGTTCGTCAGTGCGAGCTGAGCTCCTTCCCTGAATGAATTCAAGTAACCCTGGTGCTTGCCTTCTGCGATGACCAGCAGATGCAAGCCTGTGCAGCGCCTGCCTAAGGTCTGATCTCCAGCTCTCGGGCACCCGGTCCAGCCAAGGAAGTCCCAGTATGGAGTTTTCAACAACGACCGCCAGTTCCGTGGCTGTGCAAGCTGGAGACTCCAAAATTGTGATTGCTGTCTTAAAGGTAAGCAGCTTTCTTTGTTCTGCCTCGCTGTGGACTTTTTGTAATGTATTGGCAACTTACCCACTCAGCAGGACACAGCATGTAAAAGATAGCATAGTGGGCACTTGTCTGTTGAATCAACAATTAAGAGAAAACTCCACTGAAGTTCAGCCGGCTAGCAGAGTTTCCGTTTCCTTTCAAGTGATGCAGAAATCATCTGCAGCAGTATGTTTGCAAAGAAAAGAAAGAATGCAAAGCCCTTCCGTACACTTTAGTTTGGTCTTGAGAGGCAAAGTCTTCTGTGTGTTGAGGTTCCTGACTGTTGGCTGAAGACCTCAGCAGGTCCATGCAAGTATTTGGGATTTCTGATAGGTCAAGTGATGGAGCTGGGCAGGGGCAGGTCCCGGAGGTTAGGGGTTGGCACAGCTTGGGCATGATGGAGGCAGGAAACGCCTAGAAAGAGGCTGGGACTTGTGGCCCATGCAGCACTGGTGTTTGACAGGGTAAAGGCATTGCTAAATCTTGTCACATCCTTAAGGCAATGAAGACCCCACTCCCCTAATGTTCCCCTTCCCCAGGGAAACAAGAAAGGGACTTTGTCAAATTTTCTCTCAGCAGGGAGTTTAAGCCACTGGAGGCTCATGCTTACTGTAGGTTTTCTGCCAAGCACTTTTCCCACTTGCAGGTATAACCAAACTTCTTTCAGTTAAGGGTGTCATGGATGATTTTATTCCGTGTAAAATTGCCCTGCACAAACCTGACAAGCTGCATGCGTAGGGTTTAAACAATGCACCAACTGAAGACATCAGGGTTGGAAGAAGGGGCATGTGGCAAATTGGTATTCATCAGTTACTTCCAGGACCTCACCATGCTTAATTGAATGGCCTTTCTGACCTTTTGTTAGACGGTGGATGACAAGTCCTGTGTAACTTTATGTAATTGCAGGGCTTTTTTTAGTAATGGGGGGAAATTCTTAACAGGAAAATAAAACTTGACATAAACAAGATGATTCACTAAAGAAGTGAAAAATGCAAGAGAGACCTGGCCTTGGAGAGTGGCCTCAGGACCTCTGCTGCCTCTCTTTTCTCTTTTCCAAAGGAAGAGGTGGAGGTGAAAAGCCTGGAGCAGATGTATCAGGAGTGTGCGTGGGTATAATGATGTTTTGAGGAACTGCGGGTTTAGATTTCAGTGGTGGGGGCAGAAAGGCCAACTATATTAACTTTGCTGTTTCTGAACATCCTTAAAGCAGGATGAGGACCAGTGCTTAGGGAATAAATTACAGGAGGATCAGCAGCAGATTAGATGTAAGACAATAACTACCTCTAAGCGACACTGGACACTCATTTTGAACTTGTGCTACTCTGACGGCCCTTCACTGCTCCCTGCCCAGCTCCTTTTTTTTTTTTTTTTTCCTGTCCCTCCTTATAAAACAACCCCAGCTCTTCAGGGTACAAAGTCCACTTGAATGGATTTAAGTGCTTGTGTTGGCTTTGTAGTGACTACTTGTTTGCAGTCCCTTTGAGGCTGTTGGTTACAGTCTGGATGGAAACACGCTTCTCTAATTTCTATTTGGTGATTTGTACATCTATGTACATGTACTTGTTATTTTTTATGAATGTGTACTTGTTAAGGGTTCCTTTTGTTGTTGGCTAGTAATTCCTCATTTGGGGATTTTTTTTAAAGACAGGCAGTTCTCCCGGAAATATGATGAGATGTTAGGTCTTGAAGCAGAAACAAGTAGACTGCCTTCAAATGGTAGTTGAAACACACATCTCATTTTATCAATATTATCATATACTTTTTTGTACACTACCTGGAAATACAGATTAAAAAATACTTTATTTTTCCTTTGAAATAACATAAAAATCTATATGATATAAAATCTTGAGATTTTTGTTTTAAATTAATTCATCTTTAAACCAGCAAGGCAGATAAATAACAACAAACAGCCAAAAGATGATTACAAAAACTCTTTCCTAGAGGAAAGCTCTGCATCCTACCTGCCTCTATGGAGACTCACTGTTTCTCTGGAGTGAATGGTTTTGCAAGTGAGAAAGGGTACAGTTGTCTGAATTAATCTGTAACTTTGTCAGCTTCAAAAATACATGATTGACTGTATGTGTTCCTCCTTGGGGAATTTTTAAATTGAAATCCAACATACCAAGAGGGAAGAATTTAACCTAAGAATAAAAAGTAAAAACTGAGGCCTAGAATTATATTTCTATTTAACTAGGGTCCATTACTACTTATGAAAGGAGGAGGGCAAAGAGAAAAAAAAATAAGAGGAACTAAAAATACATTTTATTTTGATTTTTAGTGTGGCAAATTGGTACAACTTCAACTGGTTGAATCACAGCCCAATCTTCTAGAAATTGGTAGCAATCAAGATGAAACCAAAAAACTTCTTCATGACCATGAACTTCTCTTGGCAAAACTTAAGGTGAGATATTAATACACTTCTGATTCTGCTGCTTACACTGACACGTGCCATTTTCACACAGTGCCAGAGAGATAATGGATAACTGCTACAGTTATTAAACGCAGTTATTTATCAGCATCACTGAGAGATAGTAAGATGTTTTAAAAATATCTGTAAGGTAGTAGAAAATATGGAGTGATAATATTTTCACTGTCAAGAAATAATTTTTTGCTAGCTATCTCAATGTGAAAAAATTTTGTCGTTTTCCAATGCATGCGTTAGGTTGTCAAGTCACAACAGCAGATCTCAATGTTGCATTGTTAATAATACCTTCTAGTAAGAATAATTACAAAACATTAAATTTGTCTCTCTTGGTATTATCAAATAATTTATCAAATCACACTTACGTACTTGTATGTTGTCATTAAGTTAAGAATCTAAAATAATGTTGGATTAAGAATATCAGTAAGGACTAAACAAGGTCAGTGCTAGCTATGTGATTTGTAGGGCCCAGGATTAAATGAAAAGGTGAGGTCACTTATTTAAAAAGTGAGCACCACTTCTTGACTTGTCATGATATCTTTTTATTTGCTTTTTAATGCCTGGCTCATTCAGGTGCAAAGACACCTCACTCCTAACTCGATGCACAAACATGGGTCCTATCTTACCCTATTTGAGCTCAGTCCTCATCCTGGCTAAGACAAGTGATTACTGAGCATGGGTCATCGGCACTGCAGAGGCTGCAGAGGCAGGAGCATTTGGGTCAGCAGACTTCAGTTTTCCAGCACTTGCTTTACTTAACAAGTCACAAATTCGAACATCATTGAGAATTGCAAGATGGGCACAGCCCTTAAGCCTCCAGGGAATTTTCCTTCTAGAAAGGGAGTCTTATAGTACAGTCATCCCACTTAGGATCAGTGCTTTAAGGATGCCTGAAATCAAAGGGGTTTGCGGAGGAATCCATAGCCTGTGGTGGGTGGGATGTTGGGCCTTTTTGGCACTTTAACATTGCTTCTGTCTTTGAACACCCAGGCTGGAATTTACATTTGTTTTCTAGGTTTAAGGGCACATTTAATCTGTATCTGATAGATGAACAGTGTTTTTTGAATACTTGTAATTGGTGCTGTTTAAAAAAAATGAAAGACTGAGTGATAGTGGTGAAGAAAGGGGCTGGGAGAATCCAGAGTTGATCCTGTTTGATATCTGCTTGCTTCTGAATTTTGGCTTCTGGGGTATTTCAAGGTGAAAGTTTGGTAATCAGGGCATCTTTTACATATGGAAGAATAGCAATGACAGCAATGCATTGTGAAAGAGCAGGAATCAAAAATCCTATAATTTATTTTTAATTATGCCAGAAACTAGAGAGTCTGGCTGAAGACTAAAGGACTTCCTGTTTGTAAACTTATCCTCAATCCCCAATCCTATAAACTGTAGAAGTTCAATACTTGCTCAAAATTTCTGCCTATTCTCAGAGACCTGCTTTGTTGTAATCTCCTGAATCCCCAACCCCTTTACACCTGCCAAATGCTCCCTCTGAAGCAAACCTGGAACAGAGGCCACATCCTTCCTGTGTTCCCACTGATGACTCACACCCAGCCAGGATGTTCTCATCTACTGATGGACTGTGGGTGGTTGGGAGGTGCACAGCAGTTTGGATCACTGGGGACATTAATCTTTCTTCCTTATCATGACTTCTGTCAAGACCTGCAATGTAGGAGGAATGCTTTCTTAGGCAAGGCAATTCTATTCTCCCCAGGTCCTGTGCTCAGATCTGTATACTTGTATTTTCCATCTAAATCTATCCAGGAACTCAGTCTGCCAGAATCAATACTCTTCAGAAAATGCTGATAGTTCTTGATTCTCAGCACCTTGGTCTTTATGCCAGTCCTAGGACAGTGTACTGGCCTTCTGTGTCTTCTGGACAGCAGATCTTTTATTTGTAAAAGCAGAGAAGACAGAGCAGCTTTGAGGGAGCCCTGCGACCATCTCCTTCTCTACATGGGCCTAAGATTATGGGGTCTCCAGGAGAAGGTGTTTGGTTAAGATGTTGCCTGGGACTCCTTCAATCACATCTTGAAAAGCTTGGGTTTGAATCCTGGCTCTACTTCTAATTCAGTTTCCTACTAAAGCACATCCTGAGAGAGAGCAGGCAATGCTCATGAAATTCCCACAGGAGATCCAGGCTGAGTTCCTCGCTCATGGCTTCTGTCTGCTCCAGCCTCAGCTGTTGCAGGCATTTGAGTGGTGAGACAGAAAATGAAAGATCTCACTTACTTATCCTACTCTCATTACTTTTAAAATAAGAGGAATAAAAAAATGAAGTTTCCTGGGTTTCATCTAGCTTCCTATGGACCTCTACCCATTCATGCTCCCCACCCATTCTAACAAATCAGCCACTCACACTTGAGAGATTTTAAGTGAAGTAACATCACCTTCCTGATACAACTGATTCTATAGTTATCACTGAAGATTCAAAGTCCAAAGTCTGTTGCTGATTTGCAGACAAATGAATTTTTAAATAAAAAATTTGCAAATAACAGATCCATTATGTAACTTCCATTATGAGTAACTAGACTTATGGGTAAGTACAGCCACAACTGTAAGAAAGATAGTATAATTATGTTAATGATGAATATAGCAAAGTAATTTGGATGTTTGATAACAAACCTCCTTTTTTGGCATTTCATTGAAAATGATCTCAAATCCTAGCAACTTTGACTAAAAGGGAAGTTCTGGAAATGCATATTTTTATGAGTGTTTTCAGTGCTGGCAGTGTCTGTACCCCAGAGGTCTTATTTTCCCTTCAGCAATGTCTTCAACAGTCCCAGTGGAGCCTCCAGGGAAGAAATATTTCCTGATTTTCAATGATGAAAACATAGTCATGTGGAAAAGCTTTAGATATTCCAAAGGCATTAGAATCTTCATGTTATTTATAAAAAGAAAGAAGATCTCTGTAAAGAGAACAGAGGGGGCGTTTAGCCAGGTAGAGATCTGGCATTGGCTGCTGTGAGTGTTACATCTTCCAGTGAGGCACAAAATGGTTCAAGAAGAAAAGAGGAGTTGGAAATACCGCAGGGCTGTGCTTGAGATCTCGTGTCGGCATCTTTCAGTTGCTTCTCTGTTGTCCAGAGAAATTAGGACAAGCACAGGGAATAAGAACACCTGGCCACTGGCTGCTGTGTTAGCACCTAGGTGATGCTGGTGTTCAGCGGGTCCCATTAGTGCATGAAGTAGTAAAATATTTATTTCAGAATGTATTGGGAGTAATACTAAAAGTGTTATTAAATGTGTCCTAATTAGGATATACGGTGTGCTTTTTGCATTGATCTGAAGTATTTACTAAGAATGAATTTTTAGAATATTATGATTTTTAAATGTAAAATTTGTTATTTTGATTTTTTTCCATAGCAATTTGAAAGATTCATGGCAAAGTTTTAAAGTCTGACACAATATTACATTTATAGAAGCAGCATTTGTTTTTGTCTTACTCTTTTTAAAATCAACTCTCAGATATAGAGGAGGACATACAATATACGTCTTTGTGTCTCTTGCTTATTTTACCCATACAGTGAAGTGTCCTGTAGCTGCAACCATTTAGATGCAAATGATACGATTTCATTGTGTTTTTACAGCTGAGTAATATTACTAATTTTTCTTTGTTCATTCAGCTATTGACGAACACCATATTTTAGCTATTGAGCAGTACTGCCATAAATATGGTTGCATAGGTATCTCTGATAGAACGTGTTTGTCTTCTGGGTATATACCCAGTGGAGAGATTGGTGGATCATGAAACATCTATGGCACGTCTATTTATCATGCTGTTTTCCACAATGGTAGCACTAATTCACATTGCCACCAGCAGTGTGTAAGAGTTCCCCTTTCTCTGTATCCTTGTCAGCATTTTTTGCTCTCATTTGGTTAGCAGACATTACAAGGTAATGTCTCATTGTGTGTGTGTGTGTGTGTTTTAAGATTCATTTATTTTTCTTTGAAAAGCATATTTTACATAGAGAGTGGAGAGAGAGATCTTTCATCTGCTAGTTCACTCTCCAAATGCCACCATGGCAGGAGCTGAGCTGATGCATCCAGAAACCAAGAGGTTCTTGCTGGGTCTCCAACAAGACTATAGGGCCAAAGAGCTGGGCCATTGTCTGCTTGCTTTCCCAGGGCGTAAACAGGGAGCTAGGTTAAAAATAGAGCAGCTGGGGTATGAATCAGTGTCTATGGGATGCTAGCACTGCAGGCAGAGGATTAGTGTAATACGCCACCGTGTCAGCCCCTCTCATTGTGGTTTTGCTTTGCATTTTCTTAATAACTAGTGATATATATTGATATATGTGTATGTGTCTCACTATATCACAATATGTGATACAAATATACATTTTTGTCCATTTATATTTCTTTTGAGAAATGTGTTTTGAAGTGTTTTTCCCATTTCTAACTAGATTGCTGGGGGGAGAGGTGTTTGTTTTTAAGTTTTTCTTGAGTGGCTGATACATTGTGGCTATTCAATCTTTGTCAGCCAAACCCCTTGGAAATATTTTTCCCATTCTCTTGGCTGTCTTTCACTCTCTTGATTGTTTCATTTGCTGTGCAGCAGCTTCTGAGTTTGATATGATACTGTTAGTCTAGTTTTTCCTTTGCTACCTGTGCATTAGATTTCAACCAAGAAATTATCACCAATAATTAACACAGAAGTGTTTCTGCCACATTTTCTAACAACAACTTCAAAATCCCAGTTCTTACATTTAGGCCTTTGATCCATCTTGAGTTGATTTTTGTGTGCAGTGAAATAATGGGATCAAATTTCTTTCTGCATTTACACATTTAGTTTTGCCAACACGAATTGGTTGTATGTACATGAATGAATTTCTGTGCTCTGTTCTGCCCCATTGTTGTTCTATGTGTCATTTTTTAATGCTAGTACATGCTGCTTTAATTACTATAGATTCATAGTATGCTTTGAAGTTGAGAATGGTAATACTTTCAGCTTGACTTTTTAGCAGATGGAGAGGGGA